CATGCAAAGAAGTAACTTTAAGGCAAAAACTGGAAGAAGAGCCTTCTCGAAATAACTTCTTTCATATAAATATTGAATTACACGAAAGAAAAATAGTTACGAAACAACAAATACTTTTATATGAACACTGAATTATACAAAAATGATAATTCTCAGAATTATAAAGATGTTTATTTCTGACCGGTATATTATAAGCTTATATCGTCATAGTTACGCTATCAATAAAGAGGGTCATAACTCCCTTGGGAAATTATAGATTTTATAATTCCCTCTACCTTTCACAAGTAAAAATAAATAGAAATGAAAACTGAACCATATTTTATTCATTCCGTCATTACAAATAATAAATGTACAATTTTGGAATGTTCCTTGAAAATTACTTCCGCCACTGGAAACAATTTCTTCTTTTGTATGGCTGGAGCTTCTGTTCACTACAGTCGAGGTACCTGCCTCTTCTAATGACAAAGTAGACAACATACGCGCCGTTTTATTTCTCAATTCGATGCTATCCTCCAAATACCCCTCCGCCACCGTGGAACTTTTCCAACCTCCGTGTCTTTTTAAGTTAGTCATAGTTGCTCCTGCATTGGCTAGAGCAGTAGCAGAAGTGCGACGAAGGCAATGTCCCGTATAGGAAGATGAGTTTGGCAATCCTAAATACATTGCGATTTTGCTGGGGATTTTCCCAAACATGTTTTTTCCAATTGGCTGAGATGTACATTTATTTTGTCGGAAGCTCAAAAAAATCGTTCAATACCTTTAGGACGCAAAGACATATAAAGTCTTAATAAAGGCAAAGCGGAGAACTCTTTTTCATCCACAACTGTAAATTTCTTCGATACACCAGTTTTACTTTCCGGTACGTTCACTACCATAACGGAATCCCGGTCCTCTATATCCGATATCTTCATATTCAAAAGTTCCTGACTTCTGCATCCTCCAAAATAACCCATAATCAAAACAACCTATAACAAAAAAAAGGAAATAAATACACACAAAAAGGAAAATAAGAAAAAAATTACCTTATGCAATAAATGAATATTATTAGGAGCGTCCTTTAGGAATCTGATAACATCTTTAGGAGGTAAAACAGCAGACTTTTTCGGCTTATAACTCTTACTCTTCCGTTTCAAAAAAGCCTGTAGTTCATTGAACTTGGTGATATCTCGTTTCTCATGTATAGTCACCATCGATTTTAGCATTGACCATTTAGTCCATAAAGAATTCGGACTATACGTTTCTGACTGATATATTCAATATAAATATAATTAGAATCTTTATAGTTTTCATATATCCATGATAATACCATTAAGTTTGTGTTTTTTAAAAAAAAATATGAGTTAATTACTGTAAATGTGTTCAATACAAATATAATATTTATAGTTTTTCATTATTTATCGGGTTTAGAAAAAATAGCGTATGCAACTCTCATGTAATGGTTATTAATACACTCGCATAAACCATACAAAACTCGCCTTCGGCTCGTTTCGTATCCCGGTTAATGCTCGTGTCTTAATAACCATCATTACATGATCGTTGCATAATATACTATTAAATCATACAAAGAAGTAACTTTCATATCTGACAAACCACCTGAAGAACTATTGAATTTTTACAGACACAACCGTCTCGTTAATACAGAATTTCACTTTAAAGAAGTAAATGACTTAGTTGCTGCCGAAACTATCTTAAATATAAAGATGAATGCAGCTGGTTGTGATGAATTAAATATTACTCTAATCAGACTCTGTTGTCCTCATACGGGTCGACCAATCAGCGTCACATCCTTCCTGTTGAAAGGACTTGAGAGGATACTGGACGGACAATGGTACTACATGCATCCCCCTAAATATCCTCCAGTATGCTCATCAAACCGGCAAATCGACAGATTCAGCATTAAACAACCTTGTAGAGAAAATCTCCCATTCCCTTGACAACAAGGAGATTGCGGTTGCCGTATTTCTCGATATTGTAGGAGTACTTGACAATACACTACCTAAATCTATAGGATCGTCTCTGGCTAGGAAAGGTATGGAATCGACCATAACTGGCTGGATCTATGCCATGGTGGTGAACAAAACTGCAATTACGACTCTTCATGGCGTGGCCATCAGGGTCAGGGTCACCAGAGGCTGCCCTCAAGGTGGGGTACTATCTCCCCTTCTGTGGTCGCTCCTGATGGATACTCTGCTTGATGCCCTCGACAGAAGAAAAAGATAGCTTGTAATATCCTCCAAAGCACGATGGACGTTGTTCACAGTTGGTGGCTGAATGAGCAGATGTCTGTCAACCCCAGCAAAACTGTGGTATTCCCCTTCACCAGGAGGAGAAAATTGGACGATCCAACGCCACTTTCCCTCAATGGTAATGTCATTCCATTTGAAACGGAGGTGAAATATCCCGGCATTGTCCTTGATAAAAAAAACTCACCTGGAACGCTCACTTGGAAAAAGTTTTACACAAAGCCAAACTGTCCCTATGGACATGTCGAAGGATTTGAGATAAAACTTGGCATTTAGGTCCCAAACAAATCCATTGGATTTACGTGATGATTGTCAATCAATGATCACTTATGGTGCAATTGCCTGGTGGCTGAAGGATCTACAGAAAACGGCCCAGGCGAAGCTCTCCGGCTGTCTTTGGCATCGCTTTAGGCTTTGCCAAACAAAGATTGAACACCTGTATGGCAAGAAGATTTATGGACTTCTGGCAGAATCTTCCAGGATTGGCTCACTCCAAAGCGTTTATGCACCCTTCGGAGCTTAACAGTTGTTGGGATGAACTACGATGTCTAACAGGCCTTCTTACAGGCTTTTGAATTATCATATGGAGAGACTCGGACTGTCGGAAGACAGTGTGTATCACCTCTGTTTGGAAAATGAAGAAACAGCAGAGCACATACTTTGTGCCTGCCCCGCTGGGGACCGATTCAGATTTTTAGAGTTCGGCAGAGCCGTACTCTTACCATGTGACCTGAAAGACCACACACCATACAAACTAATCGGCTTCGTTAAGAAGCTGGGTTTATTTGGTCGACTGTGAATAGGTATGAGCCACAATAAACCCTTGCGGGTTGGACCTAACCTAATCCTAACCTCATATAATTGAGCATATCACCCATATTATAAATACTTGTCTCATTGAGGGTGTTTTTCCGGCAACTTGGGATAGAGCGCTAGTTTAAGTACTGCCAAAAAATCTAACCCTGTTGAATATAAAGATCTTCGTCCAATCACTCCTACCTACTTTGTCAAAAATATTAGAGCGTGCGATGAAGAAGCAGTTAACACAACATGTTGTTGGATTTCAGTAGGGCGTTTAATACCCTTAATCACACACTTTTACTTGGCATTCTGAGATACGTAAGGCTTTCGGGTACAGCTATTCGCTTATCAGAACACTATCTGAGAAATAGATTCCAGAGAGTGTTTATTGACAACATAGAGTCTAACTATCTTCCCCTCATATCTGGAGTACCACAAGGCTCAATTCAGTAAACGCTCGACTAACACCCATATGTCAACGAAACGCAAGATCTGCCGAAGACATCACCATTGTCTGTGAGAGTGTGCATGAGAATCCGAGGCAGTTGATTTCGCATCGTTCACAAGAATTCGGCCTTTCGCAGACCATAACTTGGCCAGATTTGCTTCGCGACTTGGGCCTGCACCCGTAGAAAATTCAACTAACCCAGGAACCCAGCGGTGGGCCCCATTTCTGCATGAATGGGTGCGTGAACAAACAAAATTGTCGAATTTGGAGCGATGACCAGGCCATCACTGTCAACGGCGAGCACTATAGATCGATAATTACCAACTTTTTTTTGTCTGAATTGGATAACCTGGACACCAATGTGGTTTCAACAGAACGGCGCTACTTGCCACACAGGTCATACCACATTGGATATTCTGCACGAGAGATTTGAGGGTGGTCATCTCACGTAGAGGTGATGTGAACTAGCCACCGAGATAGTGCGATTTGACACCGTTAGACATTTTCTGGTGGGGTTTTCTCAAGTCGTAGGTGTATGCGAATACGCCATAAACCGCATCTCAAAGCCAACATAGCCCATACCATCGGTCAAATTCAGCCTGATTTATGCGTCAGAGTAATGGAAAATTGGACGTTTCTGATGCGCTCAACCCAGAAGTATGCGTCAAAGTACAGCTGTCCATCGTATCGAGATTATAATAATAATTATAATATATTTATTTCAAATAGGCATCCTAATATACAAAAACATTTTAAAATTGGATAGACAAAGTCACAGTCCAACTTCTTAACACTAAAATATGTATGCTTGGAATTATCCATATATGTTATTATAATATCAATGTTAATGTGGATGTTGTATCTTCAACAGTAAGTCCTTTTTTGAATGTCATAATAGATTCACTTTGTTTTATCTCAAGCGGGAGGTTATTGTAGTCCAATAGTCCTTTATGGAATAGGGAGTTCATGGATCGTGTAAAGTTCAAACGTGGTACATATAAATTAGAATTCCCCCTACTGGGGTAATTATGAATTTGCGGTGATGGAAAACAATAAATTGGTCAAAATATGAGGGTACATTACCGGACAATATTTTGAAGATGAATACCTTAGTAAGATAGAACAGACGGTCTTTCACAGAAAGCCAATCCAGAACTTCCAACATTGTTGTAGTAGGCGTATATCTATTACATTGAACTTAAATACACATCGAACTACACTTTTTAGAAAATCCTTCCTACAGCAATTAAAATCTAATACCAGTTGTCATAAAGAGACATTCATAGCCATACTTTTTTTCTAGTAGACGTCGATAAACGTTATTGTTATTAAATAAATTCACACATCCTCGTGCTTTTATTGTGCTTTTTCGGTATGCAGTGATCACTAAGTTTCAATATTTTTACCCTCATCCCTAACACTACGCTCGTGCTAACCAGATGGACCACGACCCAAAACAAGAATAAAAGAATCCATGAAAGAGGTTGGGTTAGTCAACCTCGGAATGCTCGACGTTCAACACGGCCCACCTACTATACGGCACGGTGGAAGAATTTCAAAAAATCTTTTGCACACGAACTACCGAGTTATTTACGAAATAAGGAAACTTATTTTCATCCGAGTATCTGGAGTTGAACAATCGAGTTACGCCCGAATTTGTTTTTAGTATCGAAAAATGTGCGTGGAATTCGTTTGGTTGCCTGTTACAGTGTGACAGTGATTTGTGTAGCCTTGTGAAGGTATTTTGATTTACTACAGTGGGTGATTCAGTGTATTCCGAGACCTGGGCTCGTGGGATCAATTATCCAATTGAAACTTTTGAAGAAATTACCTGCTAATTTACTGGGAAGACGAGAACGAGTAGAAAATAAGGTATTCTGAGAATGTAAATATTTTTATAGGAAAATCTATTGAAGTGAAACATATAAACACTCCAGAAAAAAAGGAGATGTGGCTTATTTTAGGAATAGTTTGTTATGATTGTTAAATATCGGGTTGTTAAAATTAGCCATTTTTTATGGAAAATATACTGTGGGGCTATGAATAGGCCGCGGCAAATGTGTCAAATTCATTTTGTTTTTACTTTACATGATTGAGTAAGGTGATATTCTGTAATTCTGCTGACATTTTGAATAATTATGGACATACATACTAGTCTGAAAACTTTAAATTAATTACACATTTTTACGGAACCTTTCAGTGCAAAATCTTGGATACAAGAAGCTTTCAGAAAAACTATTTAGGGAAATGTGAAGGTCATATGCAGATGTTTCATTTGGATTGAAAGCAAAATGGTTATGCATCTAAAACAAATAGTTCCTTTTTCGAAAATTGATTATATATACAGTGTCATCCCCAAAGTATGCACCATACGGGAAACGTATTTATTAAGGGTTTTTCGACAAAAAGTTATTCTTGATAAAAGTTTGTACATCTCCTAAAACTGAACACACGTAAATATACGAGGAGCCTTCAAATATTTGATTTTGAGACGAGAGTAAAGTACAGGAAATGTTATTTAGAAAAGTTGTTCAGCATTAAAAAATACATCTAGATTTGAAGTCATAGCCATCTAAGTAGAGTTAAATTTTTTTACCCATTTTTAAAAAATGGGGACTACGAAAAAAAAATTGCTGAAACCATAAATAGACAGCATCCTGTATACGAAGGTTTATTTTAAAAGCCTGCAATATTACAAATTACACAACTATGGTGTTAACCACGGCCAATTGTTTTTAAGAGTAAAATAATAAAGTGTTTGGTGCAAAGTTATTTTTACAAAGATAATTACTTGTTACAGTATTGTAACAAGAACTCGATATTCAATAATATCAAATCACAAAACATCAATTTGAAATAGGTATTTTGGAACAAACTCATTGATTTTCTGGAGATTATTTTGGAGAATTATTTTGGTCAGAATATCATTCCTCGAACCAGGCTGAAGCGGACAACATCAGGTTTGTCATCGCCCCATCTGCCTGTGAACGAGGTAACCAACCAACCAAACCAAAATCGAGAATCAGTTTCGCGAGCTTGGTCATGTGGGACAGATAAAAAAAGCAGCTACCAATGTAATCAGTTATGAACTCAAATTAGATGTGATGCTTGTATTGATGCGGGATGGTAGGAAACCATATCATTGGCCGCTTTTTCATTGAGGGTGACCCAAATGGCGATAATTATTTGGCACTACTTCAAAATGATATCCTTCCAAGTTTAGCAAATACCTCAATTTTTCCCAATTGGTGGATAAGGAGGCGACGATTGATTGAAAATGGCCATCGCGATCACCTGATCTTTCATCATTAGATTTCTTTTTATGGGGATATGTAAAGAGCAACTAAACCTTTAGATTTGAATGACTCAAAAGAACGAATAACTCTTGCGATTAGGTTGGTCACGCCTGATATGTTAAATATTGTTAGAAGACAGTTTTATTTGAGATTAGGATGTTGCCAAGACGTTCGCGGAGAACATTTTGAACATCTACTTCGTTAACATCCATATTTTTTGTCGTATTCTACATTTAATTACGTTTTGTATTACATTTTAGTTTATGATTGTATTTTATCGAATTTCGGTAACCACTTCAGTTGGCTTTTACACACTGTATGTGAAAACACATAACATTAGAAGAGACAAAACTTTTGATACAACATAATATTATGAATAAAAAAATATAGTTTTTCAGTACCTATACGGAAAGGTAAGTTTCATACAAGTTTGTGAGAAATGCTGATATTATGGAACTAACTGTACATTATTTCACTTACATAAATTGAAGAATTAAATGAAATGAAAATCAAACAATAAAACGAATTACACTATTCATAGCATCCCATCGGATTCAATTGTTATATGGGGCTATTGTATAATATTCAGAACAATGATGTAAAACAGAAAGGAATACTGTTTGGCAAAACCATCTGAAAACTAATATTCATTTCATACTGTAAAACCCACGGAGTCAACTCAGAAATACAAAACACAAAGAACTAGCATGGTCGCTCTACCTGGATTTTTATCGTATTTCAAATCTACAAGTCAAATTGAAATTTAACATTCAAACGAGCTACCCACCTGCTCTACCTTCAACTCGAAACTATTTTCTGTTCTTCACGTATAGCCAGGTAAGATGAATAAGATAATTTGTGCGTATACGTTATACTAGGGAGCAGGGTTGGCAAAAATCAAGGTTTTTCCGAAAAAAAAACATTTTTTTTTTGTTTAAACTAGGTTTATTTGGTTTAAACCAGGTTTATTTGATACAAAGTATTATTAGTCTAAATAGTATTATTAACACAACTTTTATTTTTATTTACATGCACAAAAATTTACAAAAAAACCTCTTCAAACGTAATAATATTCAAAATAACTAAGTTCGAAAACACAAAAATAGAAATTATTTATCTTCATTTGCGGCAGATGTATTAAAATGATAACAAAATGAAGAGAAATTTAAATATTACTAGTGCAAAATTACAGTTCTTTTGATTATTAGAATGCTTTGAAATATAATAATTTGAAAATTTAAATATCAAATTTTCATTTGTAGTTTATTGAGCTGCAGTTTCATTATTAGAATAATAATATCAACAACATAAAGAGAAAAGCCCAATAAAAAACAGGTTTTTTCTTAAACCAGTTGGTTTTAACCTTGATTCAAACCATGATTTCAAGCATGTTGGTTTAAATTTTTGCCCATGTTTAATAAACACCCTGTATAGGATTAGACTGCTAACTGGAAAAAATTCTCAATCATTCTTTCCTAATATTGATATTCGCAACGGATGTGTACTACAAATTAATTTGTATATATGATAGAATTGTTGGGGTACTGAAGTGGGCAACATAATTTTCCAATCTCTCAGCTAATGCTCATTTTTTCATTGATAAATCGGGGAATTTTATCTAAAAATTAGTTAGAGTTTATATCAACGGCATCAGTATGAGATTGAATTAGGTAACACGTGCCGTTTATCAATAAACTAGCGTACCGCCCGGCTCCGCATGGATGAAATGCTGATACTAAATACACATAAAAACGCGTGCGATCGCTGCTAATCATAAAGTGCATTTTACTGTTATAACATGCTGTAAAGGGCCATATTGATGCATATTGAATGCAAAATGTATTGCTTAAAATCGCTTCGTAAATAAGTCAAGAATAAAAAATGATTATTGTGGGTTATCCCTGAGAGATAGACATATACCATCGCGGCTTTTTTGTAGACCTTTTTAAGATGTACAATGCTCTAGTACACTTTTTGATCTATCTCGTAAGGTTCAGCCAGCGTTTGCAATATAAGCGCAAAAAATTGTTCATTTACGGCATCACATTAGAAACCTCTGAAATCATCAGTGTTTTTCTACTATATTATGCATGTTATAAACATATACACCTTCCTCTTGAATCACTCTATCTATTAAAAAAACTGAATCAAAATCCCTTGCGTAGTTTTGAAGATCTATGCATACATAGGGACAGACAGACAGCGAAAATCGACTTTGTTTTATACTTTGTAGTGATATTTTACCTGATTTTAACCTGTGATGTTTGTCATCGTCAAATATCAAATGAGGGCATATAGGCATTCATAATACCAAAACTTGAAATAGTTCCCTATTCAGCTAAGTGAATTTCCGTATTAACTGATGTAAATATAAACCTTTTTTCGTTTCAGGCCCCCAGAAATGGTGAGACCGCGACATCCTGATGTCTCGACGAGCACCTCCATCACAAAGACGCATTCCCCCATCTATTGACAACAACCCTTATCAGGTGAATTCAATTTGTGATCTTAAATGCATATTATGGTGTGACTCGTTACTTGATGAAAATTAATAACATTCTTCAATATATTGAGACAATATATTAGGTTGTTTCAGAAGTTTTGTCCGTTATAATGTCATGTGTTTTTGTAGTTCCATATCTCAAAGAATTTTTATTCTACTGTATTCCCCGAGCTTTCGTCTGGCAACTTACTTTTTGCAGACGACTTGAAGATCTGTTCATCTATCACAAGTTTAGAGAACTGCTCTTATCTCCAGTTTCAATTAGACCTGTGTCAAATCAATAAATTGGCAATGAATGTTGAAAAGTGCAAAGTTTGCTCCTTTACACGTAAAGCCAATATTATTGAGTATTTTTATACTTTTGAGGATGAAATACTCCTTCGCGAAGAAACTATCAAAGATCTAGGGGTGACGTTCGACAGCAGGTTGATATTTGTTGGCCACACCAATAATAGCATCGTAGCATCGGCTAGAAAAATGCTTGGCTTTGTTCTGCGCAACTGTACATCATTTACCAATATTACCGCCACAGCCTTAACCATACTTTATACATCTCTTGATCGTTCCAAGTTAGAGTATGCTACTTTTTTGGTATCCTCTCTATAATGTACATGAGGAAACCTTGGAAACTGTGCAAAGGCGTTTTCTGAAGTTTCTTGCATTTAAAACTGATGGCCCTGCTAGAGGAACTAATCACTCCACAGTACTTCAAAGATTCAAAGCTTCATCAAGTATTATGTTATACAAAATTTTGCATTGTCAATTGATGTACCCTGGTTAGTAGAACAAATTAACTTCAACGTATCTCAAGCTACTACGTGTAGACAGATCACTTTATATAGCCCTTTCACTAGATCCAACCTTGGAAGAGTGTCTCCCATAAATTTGATGTGTGAAAATTATTTACAAATAATAAATAATTAATATGTCATCTTTAGTTCTTAATTCCATCATATATGTGAATTTATTTCTTAATTTGTCTAATCCTCAATATGCCAATCTTTTGTTATATATTTAGTTCAAGTAGCCTTTATTTATACTGCATTATTATATTATATATTGACCTGTAAATGGATTCATCTGTTAGGCCAGGGGGTCTCCAAACTACGGCCCGCGGGCCAAATCCGGCCCGCCAATCCAATGCTAGAGAAAACCACTCATGGTGTCCATTTTTGTCTGACAGTTGAGATGATATATTTTCTGCGATGTCTTGCACCCTCCGAGCCACGGTGTTTGCTGACAAACTGACACTTTTAAATAAATTTACCTTTTCGGGGCATATTTCTTCGGCTACTTCAATCAAGCATTATTTTATCATTTCTCCATCGGTGAATGGTTTGCCAAGTTTTCCGATTTCAAGAGCCACACGAAAGCTGGCGCGAGTTGCAGTCAAATCAAAATACTTTTATTGACGGGTGTTACTTTATTTCACATTAGACAGTTTCGCTTCCTTCGCCTTTTCTACGCAGAATAACTCGCAGTTGCGCCGCTAGCCTTTTTATATGCAATTATTACTGCCATCTCCAGGTGATCGGAATACACTAGCTAGAACCAGAACTTTCTCAAACCAACGCGGTAATTCCAAATATTCAATTACGCCTAATGCCACCTAGCGGGTAGCTGAGAAAGATAGTACATAGTACGACTACTCGCCACTAGATGTCGTGTGTCACAATACACAATAATAATTGAAATGCAAAAAAAGCGTAAGTTTGCTTAGGTCACGCACTTTGCCACTATACTAGTCTAGAAATATAGTTAAGGGCAGAAATTGGCCCTTGGAACAAACTGAAAAAATCATTATGGCCCGAAGGCTTCAAAGTTTGGAGACCCCTGTGTTAGGCAATAAATTTTGTTTTTCTTTTGTCTTTCTTCTTCATTGTTAATTTTTTCCAAATTTAAATTTTTTGCAAACCAGATAATTATCAAAAAGAGGTACAATGCAGTAAAAAAATAGTTTTCTAGATCCGCTGCATTTATTTCAATTTCTCTCGTTGAAGATCGTTGAATACCTACCTCTTAAGGAATCAGTTTTTTCTGACTCTGTCTCGTGATTGATATCTACCTCATTGACATATTGAGAAATTCTCCGTACTAAATATTTGAAAGAGGCATCAAAATCCTTTGTTCTCCAAAAAATTTCATTCAGTACCTGTATTCAATGAAATGAAATCAGAAACCATTGAAAACGACCCATTGTCAACTTTATATAGAAACGAATAAAACGCTTCCTAGAGTACCTGACACGTACACTTCCGTTTGGGTAATACAGGGTGACTCTCCGAGACCTGGTCGATAGATATTACGAAAAGAAGGAAAATTATGAAAATCTGGTAGTACGAAAATGACGTTGAGTAAAATTCAGCTGTAATAGTTTCATGTTGCGAACACTTCCCTGCAGGTGGCCGTCGATGGGTATTTCTCGAATACTTTTACCTGGTGTTCCCCAGGGATCCAACCCTCTTTTTATTGAATATCAACGACTTATTGAAAAAAATGAAGAATCCAATATGTTGCTTTGCTGACAACACACTTCTCTCGTCATTCCATTTGGATTCCAGGATATCGGCTGCGGATGCACATCTTCCCCGGCAGCAGAAGGTTGCACATCTTAATATAATATGAAACCTTTTGACTCATGCCGAGAAGTATTCAAACAAAAGGGTATATTGACATTTCCCTGCATATACATTTTAAATATATTACTGTATATACATACTAATATATTACTGTATATACATATTAATAAAGATATTAGATATACTAATAAAGTTTAGTATATACATACTAAACAAGAAACAAAGATAACCTTCGCATCGAAAAATTCAACCACACATATTATACAAAATCACCACAACATAATGGACTTACACTATATAATTATATATCAATTAATGTAAATGAATTATCGCACCCTCTTTTCAAGGAAAACATTTAAAAAATGCTGACAATGAATACTTTCTACAGCCTTGAAGAATTTTTAAACTATTGCAAAAATACCTAATTTATGTTAATACTTGTATGTAAGTATGCCCCTGTATGAATATTGTACTTTCAAAATAATTTATTGAATTTCTAATTTTTTAAAAATTGATTTGCATAACATTAAAAATGTGCTACTAAGTGTAATATGACTTGCCATATCCAAGCACGGCTTGGCTACAAATGGTTAATGAAGAATCTGAATCTGAATGAGGATCTAGAGGTGAAAGTAACCAAGTTCAATTCAATGCCACAAAAACCCGGGCATTGGTTTTCTCCAAAAAGATAAATGTTGTCGAACCGCATATAGTAATATCAGTACAGATAATTCCGCTTTCTGCTTCGATAAGTATGTTGAGGGTTAAAATGGATACCAATTTGGTACAATCATGGCGCTGGAATTGCAAAGGCTGTTTCTCAAAAGCTTGCAACACTGCTCCGAACTAGAAAACTGCACACACCTCCGCAACTTTTGATGCTTTATGAAGCTCAGATCAGACCTTCTTTGAAGTATTGTTTTCATGTATGGAGCTTCTCCCCCAAGCATATCTTGAAGCTGCTGGATTCTATCCAGAAAAGAGCCATCCGCCTGATTGGAGATGCGAACATCACGTGATAGTTCATGAAGCTCAGATTAGCCTTCTTTGGAGTATTGTTCTCATGCATGGAGCTCCACCCCTAAGCATACCCTGAAGGTGCTGGATTTCATCCAGAAAATTGCCATCCGTCTGATTGCAACTTTGGTAGTCTGGTACATGAAAGAAAGGTTGGGGATTTGTCACCCTTTTATAGATACTTTCATGAGAAGTGTTCAAGTGACTTGGCACATTCAATTCCACCAAGAGTAGTACATATCAGAAATACGCGACGGACTGTGACTGTTCATTGTTTTGAGGTTCAACTCAGTACACCTCGAACTTCACTTACGATGCACTGTTTGGAACCTTTGGTGTAGTAATGAATATTAGTGGATTTTTCCCAACAGCAAATCTGTATTTTCAACACCTGGATACGTGTTTCGATCATCAAGTGATCATCTTCAAAAGGAAGATTAAACTGGAAACTTCGCGAAGCTAATGCTATTTATGCTATACAGATATACTATCAGGTAAACCATACAGATATACCACACCTAAATTAATTTTACAATTTGCCTTATCTATTATTTTACAATATGTCCTTATGTAATGTTCAAATGTTTTATCTATATATAAAACAATTTTCAGCTATATAAAAAATTAATTTTACAATATGGCCTTTCTAAATTTATTTACAATGTGTCCTTATGTAGTAATCAGTAAATCCAATAACATTATTTTAACAAGCTATATAGTATGCTATTTGGTATTGGTCCGTCATCGTTATTCATAATATTATTACGTTTACTTATTTCTACACTCTCATATGCATCTAGTTGTCTGTTGTTGTTAACTTGTCTAACTATTCTTCATGAACTGAATTCTATGGAATGGTTTTGTTGCAAAATATGATGGGCAACTGCTGATTTTTCAGGTCTTCCATATTTTAAGTGTGCTATGTGTTCCTTATATCTTACATTAATAGATCTTTTTGTCTGTCCATAATATTTTGCATCGCATAATATTTTCGAAAATTCCAGACTTTTCCGAAATCTCGACTTTGTCTTTTGGACTTCCCAAAAGGCTCTGTAGTGTATGATTTGTTTCAAAAACAACCTTCTTACCTAGTTCATTGAAAATCTTTCCGAAGTTATTCGTATATTGGTGGTATGGAACTGAGATGTATTTATCTTGGTTTTTGTCCTTTCTGAAAGTCGAGATTTCGTTCATTCTTAACCTAAACTTCTTCTTCCTTTTCATGTCAGCTACAATACCCCTCGAGAAACCGTTAGTAGCTGCTATTTCCTGTATTGTACGTTTTTCTTTTGTGAACCTATCATGTGTTAGAGGGAAAGTCAAAAGACGATGCACGTTGGTGCCGTCCACAGTGATATGAACTGTCAGGAATATACCTGTACGTGCTTGTTTCTTTTCTAAATATATCGTATTCTAACCCTCCATATTGGCTCCTCATTACCAAAACGTCAAGAAATGGTAGTTGTCCCTTATTTTTTAACTCATGCGTGATTTTATTGATGGACATCTATTATTTAAAAAGGAAACAAAGTCCTTAATATTCGATTTTTTGGTATCGAATATCGTGAAAATATCATCCACATAGGTACCTTAGCCAAATCCTAGGAAAATACTGTTTAAAAACTCTTTCATTTGGAGAACTCCGTTTATGTGGAATAAACTTCCTGATAACATTTTTCCAAATGGATATAATCCCTAGCGATACTAATCAAATCCCTTTAGGGATTTTCCTGTAAGGCTTGTGTTTTGTACTTCCGGTTATATCCAAAGAAAGTTCAGACTTTGTTATTTTATATGAATCATTACTACTACTTTTCATTAGAGATTTATGATCTACATGATATTTTAAATTTACTTCATATCACTCATTTCTTGCCTATCTTTCATAATTTCCGAAATATTTAACATTCAATATAGCAATAAGTTCTGGAATGTACAATAACTATTCAGACCTGTCAAAAAACAGCACGATTTTGACCTATACTGTTGTCATGCGTATTTTTTTTGGCACAGGTAAATTTTTGACGAGAATCTGTGATGCTTTGCTGTTCACTATTGATACAATCAAAATCTCTAGTCGAGCAAAGTAAAGAAATCGAATTTAATAACTTTCAGTTCACCGAATGAAGGATTTGATGTGCCAATAATCATGAAAGTTTCAAATTCTAGAATATCTAGAAATATGCGTTTTAGTTAAATCTAGCATTATATCATAAACAGCGGTTTACGAGTAGTGCGTAGGGTATCTGGAAATCTTCTCTATACACGTACCAAAACACTTTTTCGTCACTACTATAGTATTTGTGCAGTAGCGGTTTGAAACGAACGTGTTTTTTTCTCTTGCCGAAAACCATGTGTGACGAAAAACAGGAGCAGCGTATCAATCTCAAATGTCTCGTTAGAGGCCTATGGGGACAATTCTCTATATCGTGCGCATGTTTTGAGTGGTGTAAGCGCTTCAGTGTGGGCCGAGAGAGCAAGGATGTACAAATCAAAATTCAAAGCAATGTTGATCGTTTTTTTCGACATTAACGATATCGTGATGACTGAATGGGTTCCAGAGGGTCAGACTGTCAACCAGACTTACTATTTGTCAGTTTTGGCAACACTGCGAGAACGAGTTCGCAAGAAACGGCCCCAGTTGTGGAAGAACAACTCGTGGATTTTGCACCTGCCCATAAAGCGCTATCTGTGAAGCGGTATTTGACCGATAAACGCACTCTGGTGCTCGAACACGCGCCTTACTCGCCAGATTTGGCATCGTGCAACTTTTTTTGTTTCCGAAGATAAAATCTGCTTCAAAAGAGACCCGATTTGAATCGATGGAAGCGGTAAAGCAAAAAACGGCACAGCTCCTAAAGGCCTCACCAAAGAAGACTTCCAACACTGCTTCAATCAATGGAAAAAACCTATGGAAAGATGTGTGGCGAGGGGAGGGGAGTATATTGAAGGGGAGCATTCGAATGTAGAATAATTTTTGTAATGAAATCCTTTTTCGTAAACAGTCTCGTTATTTGATAGCCGGACCTCGTATGTGGCAAGAGCACGCCGGACCTCGTATGTGTCAAGAGCACTTTTTTACTTATATAATTTAAGAGGACGGATTTCTCCGAGTAAACCAAAACGTTCATTTTTGTGAACGTACATAAAAGTATATTGTTTTTATTCATCAAAGACTTTCACTTTTTTTCAGAACACAACTACCCCTTTTCCGCAGAACAGCTACGGACAACCATACCATCAACACCACCATCGTAATTCAGATTATCAAAAACAATGTCGCGACAGTTTACGTAAAGGCCCCCTGAATCCTGCTACTCCCATCGATGTCGGTTTCAGTGATTTCTCCGCAGAGACTACAAGTTACGATTATTATTACCAGGAAAATGGCTTTCAACATGGTCCCTTACGAGAATCCCGAAACACCGACGTCACGTTTTCCGATGACAGCGGTTCAACGAGGTTACCGTATTTTGAGTTTGACGATGAATCCGACAAAAGGTCAGTTTTGTGGGTATATTCTTGTTAGTAACAATATTCAAACTTCCCTCTTCTGAAGATGAAACGAATTGAAGTCTAACGTTTCTTGTGCAAATGTTCCCAATTGTAGATGTACCCCTATACCTACATGAAAGAAATGCCATTGAAATGAAATGCTTTATTCAAAATAGGGTACATCCTGATATACAACAGTGATAATAATGTTAATATTAATATACTTTTAAACACAATAATAGAAAAAAAAGATCTACTGATATTTGTTAAAAAGTAGTCTCACCTACGATAGTTGAAAATACAAAAACAAATAATAATACATAATAATTTTTGGTATCACCTTAATGGTCTCTTAAATGGTCTAATACAGGGGTCTCCAAACTACGGCCCGCGGGCCAAATCCGGCCCGCCAGTGTCATCAATCCGGCCCGCGACAGCTAATCATTTACTGTCATCAATCTGGCCCGCGACAGCCAATGATTACCTAATTGTTGTTACTATTGCTGTGATAAGTTGAAGAAGAAAACACAGACTGATAATTACTCGGTTTTATTCACTTGCAAGATAAAACTTAACGACAGAAATGATGACAAAGAAAACTTAACTTAAGTATCTAAGTTTAAGCATATTAATAACTAACAAATGATTGAAATGAATCACAGTAAAACAAAAACACTAATGAGATTTATGTAATTGTGATTTTCCACCGAGAATACTTTGTAGTTGTGGATCAATTTTACTTGTACTAATTATCAAAAGAGATTTAAGGTGCTCATTGGTTAATTGAGATCTGTAAACATTCTTTGTGTACTTCATCTTGGAAAACGTTTTCTCATACAAGTAAGTAGTACCAAAAACAGAAAACAACCCACGAGCAAATTTATGCAAATTATCAAATTGTTCCAGTGGCAGACTCTTATAAAATTCCAACAAAGATGAATTTTGATATTTGTTCTTAAGCATATCACTGTACCGTAAATCAATAATTTCCATTTAGACTTCTGGAGCCAGGGTTTCAATGTCAGAATCAAAAGGATTTTGAAAAAGCTTAATTTCATTGGCAATGACATCAAAATCTGAAAAACGAGTATCAAAATTTATCTTCAAAGCACTCAAAGTTTCGATTGCAAAATTGACGGGAATTCAGTCTATGTAGTGTGGCTGAATATTTCACATGTTTCAAAATGTGTGAAACATTTTTTACGTAATTGCGATTGAAATAGTATTATTTTCTGCCTGAAGGATTTGATATTGGTGTATAAATCAGGGAGAAGCTGATTTTCTCCTTGCAATCTCAAATTCAGTTCGTTCATATGATTTGTCAAATCGACATAGAAGGCTAACTTCCACATCCATTCACTATTTTCTAAATCGGCAAAAAGGGCGCTGCTTCTCATTTAAAAAAATATCGATCTCTGCTCGAAGTTCAAAAAAGCGCTTAAGGACTTTTCCGCAACTAAGCCAGCGTACGGCAGTATGATATGGTAAATCATTTTCTCCAATCTGTTGAATAAACTCGCGGAATTGTCGGTGATTCAGCCCAGTGGATCTGATGAAGTCAACAACTGATATGACTGGTTTTAGAACTTCAGACATATCCAAACATTTTCCGCACAAGGACTGTTGATGAATGATACAATGTAAGACTAATGGTTTTGAACCATCATCATTCTCTACAGCCTTTGACACAAGTGCAACCACTCCTTTATTTTTACCATACATTTGCTGATGTCATTAGTGTAAATTAAGACTAGCAATAGCCCTAAAATACTTCCCTGCGGAACCCCGTGGTCTATGCTTATTGCTATTGAGACGCTCATTAATTTTGGTTACCTGCTTCCTTCCTGTAAGGTAATCACTGATCCAATCAAGTAATTTTCCTTTGATGCCATATTTTTTTATTTTTTAAATTAATATTTTACGATTAACCGTTTCAAACGCACATTTAAGATCTAAAAAATTCACCGGTATGAGATTTGATCCCAGGTTGTCGTTATGGTAGGCTTTATCCTTAGCCTCGACACCAACGTAGTAGACCAATATCTTCGGAGGAATGAACACATTGATTATATATTAACTAGACTACATAAATTAATCTATGAATTTCATCAGCTTAGGAATATTATAAACAGGGAAATGATACTGATGGTGTATTATGCCTTGCCTAACTCCATAATATGTTACTGTATAATAGTATGGGGTGGTACCTAATATGTATCAGGTTCAGAAATAAACAATACGATTTGTAGGTTCTTTAATTTGTATTTGATCAATAAAAATATGTAGCGACGACAAGTAATCAACTGTATGTCGTAACTGACAGTTGACACTTCTGTCATTGCACAGAGCACATTATTAGAATATCTTAGAGCATAACACTCTTCCCCACTCAAAGATCTAGATGTTCAGGGAGTTTGGTTGTAGGAGCACTACGTCTGAGTTCAGGTTTAGATACAGGAGGTGAAAAAGGAGGCCTATGTACAGATTCTGTTCGAACACCGATAGGGTTAAGTTCAGAATAAGTTTCGAGAAAATCATCATTTCCCAAGTTAAGCTTAGGTGCCTCTGGAACAAGTGAAGGTGTTATAGTTGAAGTCATAGTAAGACTCGACACATTAAACTGTGGTTGTGAGACACCTTTTCCCATGTAATCCACATGTACAAATTTGATATGGTCATTAACTTTGAATAAATAAGTATTTACACTTGAAACCTTAACAACTTCATCTACGACCCATTTGATATCATTATCTCTATTTTTGATGAACACTTTCTCATTCACAGCTAACATTTTAGGCAATATAGAATTCTTTGATGGTTTATAACCACTAGTTCTTTTACCAAATGTTACCAATGATACTACTCTACGACATCCGGAAAAATCAAGGGTAACTTGGTGCGCGATATATATCAAATTCAAAAGAATTCTGACATACGGTTCGAAAGAAATAATTTAATGTTAAACGAAAATAAAACTCAACACGTCATTTTTACATCAAACACCTCTTGGGTTGAAGGACACAGTGTTAAACTCTTAGGCATACATCTAGATGATAATTTGAACTGGTTAGACCACATTGAAAAACTTAGCATTAAACTGTTGAAATATACATTTCTTCTTCGGAAATTGAAATATATAATCTCTCAACAGGCGCTATTATCAGCTTACTACGCTTTTTTCCATTCTCACATCTCATATGGAACAATTCTCTGGGGAAATAGTACTAATGCAAATAGGATATTTATGTTGTAAAAAAAGGCCGTAAGGATATTATTTGGGGCTGGTTTCTTAGACTCCTGTAGGCCCCATTTCCTTTCGATGAAAATAATGACATTACCTTCTATTTATCTGTATCAACTTTTGATATTCATAAAAATGAATCAACATCAAACAGAAATTTTGATTTCCACGATCATAAGACTAGAGGCTGTGATTTGTTGAGGGCCAGTAGATTCAGACTGAAAAAGTCAAGCAGAAACTCTATCGATGTCAACTTATACAATATTCTACCTCCCCATGTCAAAAAGTTAAATCAATACTTGTTCAAAAAGTATCTGAAATATCTATTGATTTCAAATTGTGTTTATTCTACTGACGAGTATTAGCTGTATTATCCAGAGAAACACAAATAAACGGCGAAACAGTATAATATTCATTCTTGGGTAATAATGTATGTGTGTATATGTGACTTATCTTATTTGTATCTTACTTGTATACATCTAAAAGGTCAAAAGGATCAATTATCTATTATTGAATGAATTTACAGACAGAACATTGAAATTTAAGGTCAATGGCGAACGGGATAAAGCATCTGCATTTCCTATACATTTGCCTTTCCTAAATACAATGCTGATAAAAATATTGTCCATCTGACTAATCTTGAAACTGACATTGAAGGTACGGCTTCATTCGGATTTGTTTGTAATGGTTGATGATCGGTTATAAGAATGAAATGTTGACCATATAAATACTTATGGAATCGTTTGATACCGAAAATAATTGCCAACGCTTCACGTTCTAAGTTGGGGTAATTTTTCTCTCGTATTTTGAAAACTAAATATGAAAACATAATTTAATAATATCACAAAGTATCAGTTATATAACACGGTAATATAAGATGAATAATAATAACAACAAAAATTCATTCTGTATCAAGAGTTTCACTATTATTTGGAAATATGTAATAGTTTCCTGTACATCAACTCAAGTTTAATCAGTGTACTTATTGAAAAGACTTGAATCCAAGCTCATTGATCTTTCACATTACAGGTATTCCAGAAATACTTTTTCTGAACGAGGTTCAAAGAGGCCAAAAACATCACCAGACAATAAAAGAACAAACCAAATTGTACATAGTAAAGACTTAAGAAAAGTTTATCCCAACCAAGATAACCAGTGGGATCGACTGTATCAAGAGATACAAACACCGTAAGTTAATTTTATTTGTGTTGGAAAATGAAGGGAAAACAGAATAATCACGATTAATTTTAGAATTTATTTATTGAATTAGGATTCCCTAATATACAGGTTAGCTAACTTAAAATATAATATAATCAACAATGAATCAATGAAGTCGCCCCGGAGCGCCAATTAATTTTTATTGTTAAAAATAGATGCACAGTAGTCAAAATGGGGTTGGATTATTGATTTATATACCATAATTTTTGTATCTGTTGATAAGTTATTGGCGATTCTTGAGAAGAAATATAATTTTTTTGCAATCTTTTTTCAATATATTTGAAGTGGTCGTCAAATGATAAGCAATTATCAAGTTGAAATCCCAAATACTTCACTGATGTTGCTATTTCTATATGTTCATCTTCAATTTTTATATTTATGTTGTTTGTATTTATTTGATTATATTTGAATTTAGTAGTAATTATCATTGCTTTTGTTTTTTCAACGTTAAGTTTCATTTAATTGGTTTTCAGATATTTTTCCTTTTTATCTAGAACTTTATTCATTCTGCCAACAGTTTCTTCTAAATTTACTCCAGTACAGGCCAATAAGGTATCATCTGCAAATAAGTTGATGAACTCACAGTCTGTAAATAATTGAATATCATTCAGATACAGAATGAATAATAGGGGACCAAGCACACTACCTTGTGGCACTCCAGTGTGATTTGTTATATATGATGAGAAATAATCGTTCACATGTACTCTCTGTTTCCTATTTGATAAATAATTACTTATCCATTCATAAACCATCCCCTCAAGCTCATATCTTCTCAGCTTCTGAAGCAAATTACTTCTATCAATCGTTTCAAAGGCCCTTTTGAAATGTAAAAAGACAGCTACAACATATTTACCTTTATCTATTTCATTAGTTTCATTTTTTTTTCAATTTAATCATATTAGTCTAATTTTTGCTTAAGAGATCCATGAAAAATGAATTCCTGCCAATGATAGCATATTTGAGTGATACGCTAGGAATTAATTTAACAAATTTAAACTATTTTATTTATAGTTTTATATGAAAATTATGTTAAAATATTATCATGAACGGAAGTATACAAACACGAAAATCAATCGCAAAAAGATTTCATCAATTTCATACATAATTCAGGATTAAGAAGCGTAGGTTAATTTTTTAATGTATCTCTACAAGAAAAAAACAAAGGCCGAATTACTTTCAATTCAAATTATGGTCAGTATCATCGTTTATTATGATCATTAAGCTCATATTCTAAGTTGACCTCATCACCTCATCAGATAGAAATCGGAAAATCTGTTTGTACGGTAGTTTTACGAAAAATTTTAAGGATCAATAACTCAACTGCTGGAGATATTGAAAACTTCAAATATTTTACATGATAATGCGAAACAATATAGGGTGATCTATTTGAAAATAATTGGTGACATGCTTTGGTGATGCAATATGGGAAGTAACATCAAATGTGAATATGCCAAAATGTGTTCTCCTGTATACTATTGTTGACGTGTTTTTTTATTTTGCCTGCGAACCATTGTATCAAAAGTTATTCGGGGTGGTTCGTTTCAAATGGAATGCACTGTATATTTATCAAGTTATATCGGCTCAAGATCGTGTATGTTTTGGACAACTCTGGTACTGTTCATCTCCTAATAACTCCACCTATTTTTCAAGCGAAACCTACAAAAATATAATAAAACTAAAAAAATATGTTGCTGCACATAACCAACTAATATTTGATTTGTTTTTTATAGATGTGATAATGTACCTGTACCCAATGTACCCAAAAGAATACCAACTAGAATGTCTGACAGACCCCACAGTTCTCTTAGTTCAGGTGTTACAAGTGCCATCGCCATTGTTCATGGCTGTGGCGGCAAATGTCAAACATTCGAAAATGTTTGTTACTTTTTCTTGCAGGTAAAGTAATGTAATTATTTATATGAAATGTATAAAATCGAATTATTTTGTAAGAATTATCAGAATGATGATTTTCCTCCTGGCTTTCTTCTCATATCATTTACCTGATTCCACAATTGATTTAATATCTTTCTGAGCATAAGCTAGTGTCGCTTCAATTGGAAAAATAAACCTTTGCAGTGGTTATTCAAATATTTTTTCCAATTTATCAGTAGATTCGAATTATAAGCATTTCTAATACTCTTTCAGAAAGAGTTATTATAGTAAATATCTTCGATAAAATGTATTACACAAATCCACCTGTCGAGTTTTCATCGAGGATTAAAAACATAAGTTATTCAATATTTCAAATAAAATACATGATTGTGTGTTCGATAATTTAAGTTTGTTAAAATTTTCATTTTGAAAGTGAATCCTGAAATAAACAAATATTAACAAATCTTCGAGTCCTAATGGCTCATTAATTTATTTTGCAAATAACTAATTTTAAATATTATATTGAGGAGAGATACATACATATAAGAAAATGAATATTTTGAAATAAACCCTTTTTGATTTCTGTCAGACAATTGATACATGGGATGTTTCTTCTCCGTTTGGGGCTTTGTTCACAAAATGGAGCTGTTACTAGTTCACAAATCTTTCTCTTGGACGAAGGTTTCATACATGCAGTGGAGCTACTTTGAAATTAATTGAGTCCCAGGCACTTTGCTGTTTGGGTCGGATCTTTCCTCCACTGACGAGAGATAATACCTCGAAACCGGTCTGTAGGTGAATTACTTGAATAATTTCAGTATGGTCCTGCTGCTGGATGAACGAGACACATCTGCGAGATTGAAATCTGTGAGGTATCTTGCATAAATGTCCTTGGATATAATTCAATGTCTAAAGTGGTATTAGCCGGGGAAGTAATTGTTTTCCGGCAGGCTTTTACGAGAACCTACGGTATAGGTACTTTAGAAGAGATGAATGTTTTGAAATTGTATTTCCAAATATTTATTTTCTTAAGTGGATAATGGTCCTGTTAGAAAATCACTTGAATCTGAAGATGGCAATAAGAATCTTTCCAATGACTTCAAAGTTAATGTATGCACCCTCAAATATTTAAATCAATTTCATATAAAGAATGTTTGGTTAATATTTTCTTCAATAAGTTTTTGAATCTTCTAAATGACAATTTAGAAGAATAATTAGATTAGCGGTATTCTAATCTGTATGAAAGAAAAAGTAAAGGTAAAATTTGACCAACCAAAAAAAAAAAGAAAAAAAAACGACAAACAACATGAAAAGCAAAGAAAGTTGGTGAAGTAAATTGTTGTGTTTTGAATAGTAGGTTATTTTATCAACATGGATACGTAATGCGATCAGACAATATAATATAGTAAGATGATGAAACCAAGATAGTTACTTAGTAACTTACAGTATTTGGATATCTTATAAAATTAGTTTATTTTTTTAGTAGAATCATAATAAGTGTATCGTTTGTAGTGATAAATTTTATAATATTTGTTTTATAGATTTTGAAGTTTAAGACATCCCTTGTTTCTTTTGGCAGTATGTTGTACAATTTCGGTGCAAAATAATATATTGTTGTTTGTGAATAGCATTTCTTGAATCGGGGTAGTGATAAATTTTGTGCATATCTACTATGTTTTTATCTTGCCAGATAATAGTTTGGTTTATTACAAAATATCCAAACAAGACGATGGTATGCATACAGGCTTTTAACGTCAAGCAATTTGATTTCGTTTTACTACTGTTTTGTAGATTTTTAAAATTTTTTTTTTTTTTGGAGAAGCTAGATTATTTCCAAAAAATGAACTATTTGCTTGATTGAAAATCTCAACATCACAAACAACTTCAGTGTTCGTCTGTTGTGTCTAATGCAGATTTATATACTTTTTCTTTCAAATTAGTTACCCTGAAGAAATGTATATAAATTCAGAATGAAATTGGCTTCATAGAATAGATTGGATTTATTTTTTTCAAAATTTAAATAGTTTTCTCTTGACTGCTGTTATTATCATGTGACTGAATACATTCAATAATTATATAATAGAATTCGTTGAAGCCAATTACTTTTGCTATTCAAAAGAGTTGAATTTTTACCATTGATTGAAAAGTTCTTGCTTGTGTCTTACGGAATATCATCCTTCCTGAAAATCAAATCATTCATTTTTTTCCTTCAAATTATTGCTTAAAAATGTTAAAATATCAAACATTTATACAAGTATCTGCTACTGACATATACTTACTTTTGCAGTTGATATTCACAATGGGAATTCTTATTGGAGTTTCGTTGTGCATAGCAGGTATAGTATTAAGAAAATCAGCAGCACGTAACCTGCAAGTCCTCGTGTATATAGGAGTTCTACTCGCACTCGTCAGCAGCCTACTCTTGGGGATTCAGTGTAATGCAAGAATCACAGCTCGAAAGAGGAGAAAAGCCATACAAATGGCAAAACGAGCACCAATTCCACTGGAAAATTTACATTTAAGAGCTAATCCACTTCATCATCAGCCACTGATGACTAGGAATAGTATCAAAAGCCAAAGGTACGCAAAATTAAACTTTCTGTAACCTATAGGCTAATAAATATGAAACAAGATAGGTATATATTATACGAGGTCTCTTCAAAAAATAAGGTGAATGTTCAAGTTTCGCGGGCTACGTACATTCGATCAGCGATTTTTTTTATGTTGGTAAACTCGTCTCGAACATATATACACAGTTTTAACTGTTTACCATGTTTAGTTTGTTGGTGAGAGTCATAAAAATTAGAAGTGTTTTGTCTGTTCGCCAATTTTCTGCTATCAAAAATGATGGATCGAAGAATTTGCATAAAATTTTATGTATAAAATAGAATTGTCAAAAACACTTGAAATTATGACAGTGGCATACGGTGATTTTACTCTGAGTTACAAAATGTTTACAAGTGGTACAAGCACATCAACAACTGATGGAAATGATGAGAAAGTGAAAGAAATTGTTATGGAGAATCGTCGAATCACTATTAGAGAAGTTACTGAAGATATCAGTCGACTCATGTCATGCAATTTTTTCAGAAATTTTGCGCATGAAGCGCGTGGCGTCGAAGTTTGTTCCAAAATTTCTGAATTTTGACCAAAAAAACCGTTGCATGAGCATCGCTCAGGAATTGTTGAATGATAACGGCGATCCGTATTTGCTTAAAAGTGTCATAACTGGTGACGAATCTTGGGTATATGGTTATGACATTGAAACCAAAATCCAATCGTCCCAATAGAAGAGCTCAGGGGAACTGAAATTAAAAAAACACGTTAAATTCGATCAAATGTCAAGGGTTTGTTCACTGTTTTCTTTGATTACTGTTACGTATTGCATCAGGAGTTCTTGCCACATGGTCGTACAGTTATATTGGTCTTGTCACATGGTCGTATTCTTTGCGAGATGCATTACGAAGAAAACATCCGGTATTGTGAAAAAAAATCATTGCTTTTGCATCACGATAATGCACCTTCTCACTTGTAATGTTTTGGCCAAAAATAACACAGTAATCATGCATTGGTCACCGCATTCACCATATTTGGTCCCCTGCGACTTTTTCTGTTTCCAAGATTGAAGAGACCATGGAAGGATGGCGTTTTGTGTCGATTGAGATGAAAACCGAATCGCTGAGAGGGCTCAAAGACATACCAAAAAGTGCATATCAGAACTGTTTTGAGGATTGGAAAAAACGCTAGCACAGGAGTATTATATCTCGGGGGACTACTTTGAAAGTGACAAATAGAAACACATGAATAAACGAATATTTTTTGAGAAATTACTTTATTTTGGAACAGAACTCGTATAAAAAAAAAACAAGACAGAATGGTCTCGTGAACTCGTATTTTTTTAAACGCTTTATATTAGCTTCACCCGTATTTATCTATGTTTGTTGGTTTGTTTGTAACTCTCAAGGTCGGGATCTATATTTAACAGAATTATCGACATTATTGCTTGATCTATTCGCGGGCAGATGGCGCTGCACGTAACCTCCTTGATATAATTCGAACTCACTTTACATGTATTTCTTCATTTGAGAAAGTTTTTTTTTTATCAACACACGCGCATGCTGCCTTATTTGTAACCCTCCTTTGCGCGCCTGCTGCCTTCTTTGGGCTTGGTAGCTGATTTTCAGTCTCCGGTATCGGAAAATATCAATGGTCATTTTACTAAACAATATACTGCTGATTGATCCCAAAATTTAGATAAAATAAATATAGTTTAAAAAGACTAAAAAACACACTTTTATAGCATACAAAACTAAAAAATGAAAAAAGTTCGAATGTCTTTAAAAGCGTGTTTTTTATTTTTTTAAACTATATTTATTTCAAACATTATTTAACTGTATTATTGAAGTTATAATGAGTTCATTGAAACTGCAGTAGGTGCAAAATCCATTTGCAGGGCAGCTCATTTAACAATAAGTGAACCTATTTAGAGAAATTAAATTATGGAACAATTGAAAATCACAAATACCTCTAGTGCCAAAAATACAAAGTAATAATTTAGAGTGAGTAATTGAACGTGATGAACGGGTAATTTTTTTTTGTTTAAAAAAGCTACAAGTTTAACAAAAAATGTGGGAGACTTCCAAATAAAGGAAGAAAAAAATAACTTCTATGAAAGGTCTTCATAGAGACATGTAGATCATGCATAAAAGTTTCTCCAAGATACAAATTAAAATTAAAAAAAATAAATTGATGGATGTAGATGGTATAAAATCATAATGAAGAAAAGAGAATTGAAACTTTTTTTGCAAATAAAAGTGGTAAAAAACATAGAAAGTTTCAATTCTCTTTTCTTCATAATAAAAAATCTTTCAGAAATAACTATTCCCAAACACCAGTACTGCAACAACAAAGTTCTCATCTAAATCTAGCCGATATATTCTTGAAATTGTACACTTTCATTTTTGTACACATGTCAATAATTTCATGGATACAAATTGGTGGAAAATTTGTGAAAGTTTTTGCTAATTTTCAACGGTGATTGATATAAAGGTTCTATTACAGAACTATATTTATTACTTATTTATATAATTCATAGTAATTAGTATTTTTTTATTTTTCAGAGTAATGCACTTGCCACAAGTTCATTCAAACCTTACACGTCCACTACCTAGCAGACCAACGGATCGTGATTCTCCTTCGATGATAGAAGAACCAGGAATTCCTTGGTGGAGAAGAAAAGATCTCAATACCCACTGAAGAGTTTTTCTAAATGAAATCGTTGTATTATAATAATATGTAGATAGTGAGACGAAAGTGTGAAAATTGTTAGAAATATTGACTGAACTGTAACAAGGAAAAAAAATAATATTTTATATTTGCAATACAATTTTCAAATAATTGAGAATTTTTTTCATTTTTGCAACTTTTGTAGGTCCAGTTTTCTTTGTACCCTGAGATTTACAGAAGCCCTTTAAAACCTTTTCCTTCTGACAACATTTGTTTAAATATTGCTGTTTGTTTTTTGTTGAAAAACAAAATATAATTATTAATATAAATAAATATAGGTATTACAATAAAAAATAATTACTTATAACATCTATTTTCATTTTCACTATAAAAGTTTCACAAATCCGCTATAAAAGCTATACAGTGCCTTCATTTCAAAACTTCCCACCCCTAGTACTTCGTTTAGCAGGGAGAATTTGCCGTAGGCAAAAAACACGTCAATTTAGATATCGAGGGGAAGTTCAAAACCAGTGCCAGTGGCATTTTAGGTTTAACCCTCTTACCCCTAGCTACCCCCACTTAATAATTTCAAATGGCACACCCTATCTTGTAACACATCATTTTAAAGATCTTGAAAATCCTCACTCAACCCTGTTTATAAAACTGAAATTGGTTGATTCGTTCTCGTAAAATAGGGCAAAAAGAAAATGAATTATAACAAAATGCAAAAATTCATGGAACCGCTACCGTTGACTCAATAACGGTATGTTTATGTCTCTTTTTTACACAGAGTTTTTTGCTTTAGCTGAAAGTGAGATAAGGGCACACAGTTGCGTCTTGGTGAAAACATTTATCAGAATTAGTTATTCCTGATTTTAAACTGTTTGTCAAGTGATATCAGTTGCACTTACAGTAATACAAATCGTAATGGTGTGCACTTCACAAGAAAGAACTGAAATTATGTTTATTTATGGTGCTGAAAATAGGTGTGCTCGTAAGACAGCATGGGTTTTTAATGAAAGGTATGCAGGCCAAAATGTGAGTCACCGATATGTTCTAGACCTTGTTCAAAAATTTAAAGAGACCGGTTCTGTGTGCAACAAAGCAGCCGAGAGTTCTTACGGCCAATTCGTCGTTGAGCCTACTACTTATATTTCGAAAGTCACTAAGTTAGTGAATATTTCAGTTGGTTCTATACGCAAAGTTTCAAAACTAAACAAGTTCTATCCTTACAAAATGAGTACCTATTCTTCAGCAACTCAATGAGGATGACTATGATAGGAGAATTAAATTTTGTGAAATAATGACTGCGAGAATTCAAAATGACCAGAATTTAATAAAAAATATTTGCTTCAGTGATGAGTCAACTTTTTTCTTAATGGCTTTGTAAATAAGCGTAACTGTAGATACTAGGATAATGAAAATCCACACTTGTTTCGAGAGGATCATATGCAATATCCACAAAAAATAAACGTCTGGGCTGGAATTCTGGGAAACGAAATAATTGGCCCTATTTTTATTGAAGAAAATTTAACTGGTCAATTGTATTTAAACTTATTGGAAAATGTGATCGATCCACTCATAACACAGTCCTTAGAACGCCAAGTTGATGAAGAAGACAACCCGCTATTGGATGAACAAAATTTACATTGTCAACAGGATGGCGCACCGCCACACTACGCAATGTCCGACAGTGACTAGATCAACGGTATCCTGACAAATCGATTGGCAGAGGCGCTCTGGAATGGCCGGAGAGATCTCCGGATTTAACGCCATTGGATTCAGGATCTAATACACAGGATTAGTGACACATGTAGACAAATTAATAATGAAACATTTACAAAAGTCCAACAGGAATTCGAGAATAGATTGTACGTTTGCTTACCTACCAATGGTGAATATTTTGAACACCTAATAAAGTAAGATACATTTTTTACAATGCAATAGCTATTATTTTATTTTTCATTATAATTAATTTTCTTTTTGTTCTATTTTAAGAGAACGGATCAACCAATTTCAGTTTTCTAAACGGGGTTGAGTGAGGATTTTTAAGATCTTTAAAATGATGTGTTACAAGATAGGGGGTGCCATTTAAAATTATTAAGTGGGGTAGCTAGGGGTAAGGGGGTTAAACCTGAAATGCGACTGGCACTGGTTTTAAACTTCCCCCTCGATATCTAAATTAACGTGTTTTTTGCTTATGGCAAATTCTCCCTGCTAAAGGAAATACTAGGGGTGGGAAGTTTTGAAATGAAGGCACTGCATAATAGCTTCCTCAAGCAGGAATTAATTCACTACTTTTAGATTAAAACATTTTATATTCTAAAAATATAACTATAATCTATTGTTGGAGCAGATAATGAATTCTAATCTAGTTGTAGCTACCTGAAAAGAGGGGATACAATCATTTCAATAACTAATAATAGCAGGTAAATACTGATAAAAATACTTGGTAATTAGTAAACATTATGTGAAAAACAATTGCTATTCAACTGAATTTGAGCTTTCATTAGATATTGGGAATTTTTGTTCTTACTGATTTCCATACCTTTCAGAAGATCAAGTTTTGAACCTTTCTCCTGGAAATGAACAATTTTGAATTCATGATAGAACACATATCTCTCTGTAAGGGTGTAGCATACTTTGAATTTATTTTGCCATTATGGAAAATGTCTCGATGTTCCTTTATGGGTACATTGAATATTCTTCCAGTTTGATCTATGTAAAACATGAACCATAAGACAACTAACGAGGTCTATTAAAAAAATTACATTGGTGCACCATTTCTGTCACTTCCTGTACCATGAAATCAACATTACAATGATGAAATGTACTACTCTGTTCAAAACATTAGTCAAATTTTCATTTTTTTCAAAAAATGTTTATTTATTTATCAATTTATATTTTGTTTCCTTTAATGTAATCCCTCTCAGATATGATATGATATACTTGTGTATAATATCTGAGAAACAGTTCTGATATGCACTTTTTAGTATGTCCTTTAATCTTGAGAAAAAGAAAAAGTCGCAGGAATCCAAATCTGGTGAATATGGTAGCTGAGACATGATTATGGTATTGTTTTTGGCCAAAAATTACAAACAACAATGACGAATGAGCAGGTACATTATAGTGATGCCAATGAATGTGATAAGAATGCTTTATGCACTATGCCACGGTAACCAAAGAAAACAATTAGCAAAACTTTGAAATTTCATCGAACTCAGCGTATTTTTTGGTTTTGACTCTTCCATTGGGACGATTGGACTTAGATTTCGATGTCATAACCACATACCAATGGTTCGTCACCAGTTATGACCCTTCTGAGTCGCTGTTAACTTCATTCAACATTTCCTGAGCGATGCTCATGCTACGGTTTTTTTGGTGAAAATTCGGCAATTTTGGAATGAACTTCGCAGCCACATGTTTTATATACAAATTCACATCCTCTCGACCTTCTGTAAAAAGCTTGTACCACTTGTAGACATTTTTCCGACTCACAGTACAATCACCATATGCCACTGTCAACATTTCAATTGTTCTTGGCCACTCAATTCCATTTTTTGCACAAAATTTAATGCAAATTCTTCAATCCACATTTTTCGAGCAGAAAATCGCCCAACACGCAAAAAACTTCAAACTTTTATGCCTCTCACCAACAAACTAAACAGCTATAACTGTAAACATTCGTTCGAGACGACTGTACCAACAAATAAAATAAAAAAATCACTAATCGAATGAGCGTAGCCCACAAAATTTGAACATTTACCTCATTTTTGAACAGACCTTGTAGACCAGGCTTAGGATCTAGTCCACCCCTCAAGTTACAATGTTTTAGGAATGACGAGGTGAAAAAAACTCATTTAAACCCAAAATATACTTTTGATTTTTATTATTATTGGGTAAACCATTTTTTAGGTATCGTAAAGTGCCATAAACTGAATATTATAACAAGAAAAGTATACAATAGTTGAAGTACTAATTATCAACTATTATATATGTCACATGTTGATAATTAAAGTAATCGATAGAATAACATGAATTTAGCAGTAAAAAATCTTCAACGCAAGGTTTTGGTGTTTACTGAAACATCAATAGTAAAATTACTAGAAACATTTTATAAACGAAATAGTCAGTTGTTTGACCTATAATATATCCACTCGATGTTGAAACATATTGAAAGAAATTGCATTGAAAATTTTGTTCAAGCTATAATTCAAGTTAGTTAAATTGCAAGAGTACACTGTCTAATTTGCATAAAAATAATTATATTTATATAAAGAGAAAGTCCATAACATTTTACCAATATTCTTCTTAGAACAACTACGACCTAGCATAATCATTCAAGAAAATAAACTTATATGATTCAGATAATAATTTTATCACACAATATGATAATATTCATCTTATGCTGCCTATAATATATCAATAAAAATTTCAAATATTTTATACATATTCGATATTTTCTTGGCCATACTTCCACAAATGAGATTCAAAGCAGAAATAATTTGTTATCCTAAATTTAGAAAATTCGATTACTAATGATGATTTACATTGTTCAAATGATAATTGTAAATAGTAATAAATAATGGTTACCACATAACTTTCAAGTTTGGCGGAATGTAAGAAGAAGTTATTCAAAATATTTATCTTATCCTAAGTAATAATGGTTTTTCAAAAAGGCATAAGTAAGCGAATTCATCGTTTCAGAAATTATTTATAAGGACAACACAAATGAAAAAATATTCTAGATTAGTAAGGTGAAGTCTTCAAGTTTTCCTAAGTACGTGACATGCATTAAGTACTCAAAAGAACAAGTGTTTGGTTATGTTTTAAGTTTCTTCATGAGCGGCGGTATTTAGAGGACGTAAAACAATTCTTGGATCTCTTTCAACCATACGATCGGTATCCTCGTTTCTGAAATTCAAACAAGTAATATAAAATTTTTGACCAAATACGCCATCGATTATAAATCTATACAAAGTACAGAGCGATGACCGTCGGTTAGCCGTATTTTGAGAAATAATAGGATTCATTTCTAGAAAATTGGCAAATATAGTTTTTTTTCAATAATCGAATGAAAATAGTAGCGTTTTCCAACACTTCTAGTTATACCGGAAATTGGTACCAACTTCCAGTATATTTTTCACATTTCTGAATACCCGGCATAATTTTATCAATCAATCAATCAATTTATTCATTGTAAATGAAACATTACAACGTCGTTATTTCCTTAATATTAAAATTAAAATACATATTCACAGAGATGCACAGATCAAAATAAAATAAATAAATATATACAAAATTATCATGCACATGTAAACCTACAAGAGATGTAGTACATGTATTATTCATTTATAAAATCTTCTATTGAATAGAAACATTTTTCTATTAGGACATTTTTCAGCCAGATGGAGCATTCATTCGAGTGTTTCTTTTTTGCAGTCTGGAATTTTATTATATAATTTTGCGCCCCAATAATCGCATCCTTGCTGTGTTTTCTTCAATCGATGAAGAGGAACTTGCAGTAGATCCTTATTTCTGGTATCATAAGAATGATTGAGTACATTTTTTGAGAACATCTCTGGATTTGCGTGAACATATTTTAGACAACTATATATATATGCACTGGGAATGGTGAGAATTCTTTGTTGACGAAAAGCCTCTTTGCAGCTATCTCTATATGCAAGTCCGCATAGAATTCTGATGGCTTTTTTTTGCTGAACAAATATTTTGTTTGAATCAGAACTTGTGCCCCACAAAAGGATTCCGTAAGTTGCTATGCTGGGAAAGTTTGAAAAATAGGTTATTTTAGCCGCTTGATGTGTTGAAATTGTTTTCATTCTCCTTATACAATATATTGCTGAATTAAGCTTCTTACTCATTTTGCTTATTTGTACCTTCCAATTTAGTTTTGAGTCCAGATGTATTCCAAGGAATTTTAGTGATTTTTCCTCTGTATTGTTTTTGCTTGAAATCATTAGCCTTTGAGTTTTTTCTTTGTTTAGCAGGAGTATATTTGCCGTAAACCAAATATCTGCTTCGGCTAGAACTTGCTCTGTCTGTTGTCTTGTCACCTTCATCTTTGCCTTTAACTAGAAAAGTTGTATCATCTGCATATGCACTTGATGCATAAATCTTGATATTTTCGAGAAGATCGTTTGATGATAAACAGAATTGGCCCTAAAATAGAACCTTGGGGCACTCCTTGAGTTACCGGAATTGTCTGAGATAGTGAATTTTTCCACCATGTCGATTGAAAACGATTTGACAGGTTATGACTTGAGCAGTTTATGGTTTGAGATAGTTAATAAACGCTTGGAAGTTAACGATAATGTCTTTATGTGAAAAGACAATGCAGTATTTTTGAATTTTCACTTTTTTATGAAACATTTAGAATGAACAGTTTTAATTTATTATTTATTCATCTGGAATACTGTTTTCAATAAAAATCATGGCTGCAAATTAATGGCTCCAATTAACTTTTTGTAATTGTTCGAAATGAAAGTATTTCATCCTGTAGTTTTATGGTGAAGATATGTATATTTAGTTTTTTAAGATAAACTGAAATATCTTATGAACGGTTGATTTTTCATATGGGGAATGTTTCATGACAATGAACTAAAATGACCTCGGTATTTCAAACCTATTCTGAAATATAGCGTTTTTTTTTTAAATGAGTTTTAGTTCATTTTTATATCTAGAATCCGTCATCGATTTCGAACACCTTGTATGACTTTTTGGAAATGTTACTCCTACAAGATTATATAATGAAGTATTTTGATGAATCTATAATAGCTTTTTTCATGTATTCTATCAAACCTCTTAATTTTATGAGAGAATCACTCAAAAGCCGAATACCTAGTTTCACAATGAAAATAAATTGTTTTTAGATTGGAAAATAATATTCTTGTTGATCAGCATTTTATAATATAATCAGAAACAGTAGACAATCGAGTGATGATCTATCATAACTGTAAAAACAACTCACATTGAATCCTTATTGTCACTGGACATCAATTTGCTCTGTTCAGTGTCTTCTTGCTGTGCTGGCTGATAAGCTACTTCCGATACAGGAGCATACTGTGCTGTTACAAGTAGATCAGTAGATGGATTCACATTGAGAGCTTGTCCGCCTGAAGTGCCTAAATGGTCTTTAGCATTTTTCCAACACATCCGTCTTGTAATTCGAATGAAAAATACTAGAAAGTAGGAAGTCTGATGTAACTTGCAATTTTGTTTGATTAACAGGGCTTACCAAATAACAAAATTGATAAAGCAAAAAATATTGCACCAAACACTGTTATAACAAGATATACGTCTTCTTTATTCTCTGGGGTTTCCGAATATCCAATGGCACCATGTACTAGCATAGCCAAACTACAAAACAGCATAATTGGATTTAATAACAATATCACATCCCAAAGACTACACAGTACTTCTGGCAATATGGTAGACATATTCAAAAAATAAAATTTTTGGTCCCTTTTTTCTCCTGTCTATTACATGGCTGTACGTACTTAGTGTAGATAAAAATAGCTAGGTATAAAAGAAAAATACTGAAATTCACAAGCTGTAACTTTTCCAGTTTATATGTTTTGCACTCTACATAATTGTCAATTTTCATCAAGCAAATTACTGGCAGAAAAAGCAATGAATTCAAGATATTGCTAAGTGAAATAACACATATTGAAACAATATTAGTTCATAGTATTTTTCAAAATATTCCTGCAGATCATGATGACTTTGATTTCTCTAACTTACCCCAGTATGAGACAGGCAACACAAGAAGTGACCAATACCAGCGGTAGGATATTTCTCGACGGTAAACAACTGATTCCACATGGTCTTCGAGCACTCTGAGATACTGTAGAAGCCAAATAACTGATGGGTCTATCTTGCCATCGGTCCTGAGGTCCATTGGACTCGTAGGTCACAGTTGTGGGTTGGTAAACTGCTCCAGACATCTTACTGTATGTTGCAAACTTTCTGTAAATTTTGTGAAAGCAAAATTCAATTATGGGCCCATTCACTTAGAAAGACTATATTATAATTATATTTTCAGTACACAGATTTTTCATTCTTCTATAAAAGTCAGTGTTGTGAAGCTATGTCAAACAAATACTATTTTTTTTTTCAATTTTATGCCCTGTGACAAAGAGTTATTATAAATATACCTACTACAGTAACAAACCAGTTATTTCATTTTCAAGGTTTCTGTCCTCTTAAGGATAATATATTCGTAATTTTAGGTATGACTCAACTTCGCTTGTAGTGGAACACAGTATTTTATTTGCGTTTTCTTACTGTCTTATTTTTTAAAACTATTTTATGGTGGTTGAACGGTCAACACCTAATTATTTTAATAGTTGTTATTGTATTGAAGATTTGTTGACATCACTTAGTGACGTTTGTTTATGTGTTTTGTGACAATAGTATGTCTTGCCAGTGTTGCATGTTATCAATTCGATATTCATGATATATAGTAGATACACGTGTATCATAGAAAATTAATTTTGAAGCTTATGAAACAATCATAAATATATATTTCCTTGTCTTTGGTATAGGTGACACTTTCTTTTGGAGCTTTTCCGATTATATTCATTACAATTTATATTTGTGTTCTATGCGACAACCTGAATCAGGAACAAATTTTATCATAAATATATATTTCCTTGTCTTTGGACAGATTGTCTATACTAAGTTTCCTATGCCAATTTTTTCGTGAATTTACAAACGGTCGTTTATATGCCGCTCATATGGAAGATGTCGAGTGCTTTATCTCAACCTGTCATGTCGGCAGGGATGATTATGAGATGCTCTAACTGCCATGACTGTACTAGTCAGCGGACTTTCCCGGATAACCACTTGAAGTGCTTGGTGCTTGTGAGCAAGCCGCCGGATAAGATCCGTAATGAGCTCGACTTCCGCTTTCCGCTATGTCTCGCAGATACTCCAATGGGATGTATCGATCGCTATTGGTCACGATACGAAGCACCTTATTCTGCATCGTCTCGAGTCTCCTTAATGGAGTCCTCTTGAGGCTGCAGAATACAGGACAAACGTACAACATAGCTGGTCTGATAACTTGCTTGTATATCAGGAGCTTATTGTCAACCCTCAGTTTGGAATTTTGTGCGATGAGAGGGTAGTTGCATTTAATTGCCGCAACCGCTCTCTGAATTGCCAAACTTAAATGTTCATGAAAATTCAAGATACTTCGCACGTCTTTGTTCTTCCACACACTTGTCTTGAATCATCAATTTCCTGAAAATCTTCACATCAGTGAATTTCTTCGTGAAATTGACAAGTTCAGTCTTTGTCGGATTCAGTCCTATCTTATTCCTCTCCATGTATGGTAAGACTAACCGGTCTAGATGTATCTGAATTTGACGTGTTGCTACCTTGCTTGAAAATGAATGGGCATATATGGCAGTATTATCTGCATACATGCCTACATTCGTTTTCGCGAACATGGAAAAGTCGTATGTATAGAGAGAATATAGGTGTGGTGATAGACAAGACCTCTGTGGAACCCCTGCATGTATGCCGTCCACATTTTCGTGATAAATCCCTCTGTCCAAACGATGTCAAAGGCTTTTTGTATGTCCAACAGAACCATAACTGTATTTATCTTCTAGTGAAAGGCCTCCATTATTCCGTGGACCAGTCGGAACAGATGTGAGGTCGTATTACGACCCTGCCTGAATCCAAGCTGTTCCTCTGGAACAAGTTTCAGCTTCCTTTCCCGACGAAGAAATTTGCTTAATAGTACTTTGTCAACAATCTTGGCGACCGTGCAAAGCAGCGAGATCCACGGATAGCTCTCCGTTTGATTCTTAGGTTTTCCTGATTTGTGAATGGGTATCCTCTCCGCACACTTCAGGCAGTCTGGATAATGTTGCAATCTGATAATCCCGTTGATGATATGTACCATCTGTACAAGATTTGCTCGGCAGGTTCCGGAGTAGAATTGCTCCAATGCCATCGCTGCCAGGTGCCTTATGTATTGGCAGGCGTTTTGTTGAATCTCTCACCTCCTCAAAGTCGGTAAGGACTTTGGCCAGACATAATCGTTCAGGCGGGGAGGAGACATGGAACGCACCTTCCTCGCCGTCTCGGTGATGTTTCTGTGCCCATCAGTGATGTCTGGTGAACATTATGGAAATATTTGCCGAACACTCTGGCCTTGAGTCTCACAACTCAAATTCACAATTGAACGCGGGATTGAATTTTTCAAATTACATTTTGAATAATTATCTAACAAAAGATACATATATACATAGTTATAGTTTATAACTGGTATCATCTATTCTAATTATCAACAATAGAAAACGTGATCATCTCTCTGTTTCATCTTTATAAACGAGAAACTATTAATACCGAATCAATTTAAATCACTCATGAATAATATATTCAAGAAACTTCATTGTCAGATTTTCAGTGAACAGTTTTACAAAAACGCGACACGTGTTTCCCTATACAATAGCTTCTTCGGGCGCGGCTATACTGTACAGACACGCCCAAAAAAGCCGTATGTCCTATCTCAGTATTTTCAAGTAATATGTCAATATTTCTTGATTTTTTTGATAAAAATGAAGTATCCACTGAAAAGAATTAATATTTCAACTTTTGCTAGAGCTAAAAAGATATTATTTGATTTCTTTGTTCTCGATTGTTGAAATTAATGAAAAACCAATAAATATTTTTACAAAAACATTCAATAAATGGCTTAATTTGATTAATGCTTTCCTTTTTGTATGGTGAACTGAAAATTTATTAATTCACTCAATTTTTTGTTTCTTATTTTAATAGGTAAATTATTCAATGCCCTTCTGCAGGTATAAAGTATCCATTTAGTGAATATAAATATTTCTATGCTGAAGTAAAAAAAAACAAAGTTAATGATGAGATTATAAACAATTCTGAAATGTTTGAGTTTAAATAATACCAACGCTCACAACTGAACTTTCTATTATTTAATAAAGAACAGCTTCAAATGTTACAGAACATATTTTAGTATTATTTTTCTTTGAGGACAATCTGAATATGGCTGTTATGACGCATATAAGAATTTATTCTCCCATGGGCTCTGTAGGTTCTTCTAGTAGAAGTAGGAGCTTGGTTGACTTGAATGTGATGAATAAAAAAATCTGCTGGATCTTTACCATGATATTCACAATTAGCTGATACATTTCGCAATAGGTCTATCATACACTTTGCACTATTCTTCGGCCAGCGTCCCTAAAAAGTATAAATCATGACCTTGAACACATAATATAAATATTAGGGAATATTCTTTACATTTACTAGTTTGAACTGCTTTGCCTGAGAACATTTTCCCACTCCACTTTTAAATTTTCTGAATGGAATACATTCCTTGTGAAGTAAAACATTCTTCAAATAAGAATTTGCTCTTTGGACAGTCATATTACGAATCGTGGCAGCCACTTCAACAAGATTCTTGAATTTTACTGGAATATTAGAAGCTTTTGCTTTTACCAACTCCGAGTCACCCTCGAGGTTACATTTCAATGAGCAGCTTTTCACCATCTTAAAAAGAAAACAAGTTAAGTACAATTGACTCACATTACAAAGATTCATTCTACTTTATTAGATTTTCAAATTGTTAGAAGAGCGGGTAATCAAACATTTTTTTGATGGAAAATGGAGGGTGTTACATTTACTAAACGCCACTAATGACATCTGACGTTTAGATTTTCATCAAGCCTACTCACATTTGACCTACTTATTAAGCCATATTTTCATGAGGACTTCCCTCATGAGAAGTGAAATTCTTGTTGCTATCGCTAAGGTAACTGCATTACTTTCATTCCCCATGAAAGGGTGAATTTTGGGCAGTTCTCTAATAATGTAATGAAGATTTGTTTTACCTAAGAAGAATTTCTCTCAAGATGGATGGAAAATAATATTCGTTTAAATCATACAGTTTTTTGCACTTCAATAGATTTTTAATACGACCATGTGTTCCTGATTGGCGGTTGATATGTTACTGGTACAATAAGCGATATCTAAGTACGTTCCTTTTAATAATTATTATCAATTCACTTTTAAAATAACCGCTTAACAAATTACTATTGGTTTCACGTCAATCACTGATGATACCAAACTCCGATCGTGACCGCCTTCATGGATCGATTCTGAAGATCATACATAATACGACTTTTAGGTTCAAATGCCATAACAAAAAGCTTTAATTTTCATGAAGTTGAAGAATTCTAAATTAATCAAGCGTGTGTCTTGCCATACATGTATTGAATTTTAATATGGAGGTAAAACGCATTTGAAAAATATTGAAGTAAATGTACCCGAATAGTATTTTCAACGTAAGCATTTTTTTTATATAGTTTATTTGAAAGTATGGTTGACGAACGATATTTCTTTATGAATGTCACAAGTTCGAACTACAACATTTGTTTGATTAGAGGTTTCCAACTCTCTTTGCTTGATTGAGTTATATGAGTTCTTCTGAAGATTTGTTTATATTTATCCGAATATTCGGATTTATCATGCGAATAGTATCTGCAGTCAGCTGTCATTGTCTTTCAATAATAAAAAAAAATCATGATTCAGAAGTTGTTTTGTATTTTGTTCACCACCAAGAATATATATTGAGTGAATACGGTTCATAGGCGAGTCTGAAAAAATAAGAGAAAAAATGAATTCGACAGATTGGGAGTAAGTTTCATGAAAATGGCAGAAATTTAACTTGAACTGAATTGCTCAGTTAACAGTCGTTCAAACATAATATCAGTCCTAAGAATGATTGAATGAAATGGCGTCTTCCTGTAATGTTTCTTCAAAATGTCGTTGAATACAAGAATATCGTTCTGTTAGGCTGCACCACTTTGAGTGAAGAACTTTTTTCTCATTATTAATTTTTATATTAGCATTTGAATCCAGCTCCCTGATGGGGTTTAGCAGTCTTTCTGTATTCTACGATCATTAGGCTTTATTTTATGAAGACGATATGTTTGAAAAAAAATCAATATTCCAATCCATTTCTAAAGCTAATGTAAATGATAGATGTATTGAAATGTTCTTCAATTCCATAATTCATGAATGATTTTGAAATAAACTCTTTCAAACATAACCTAGCAAAAGTCATTATCAACAATTAACTTACAATACGTGAATACGTCATATGTTCATTGAGTTCAAGTTGTACTTGTTGAATCTAACTCCGGTTAGGTTACAGGTCGATTTTTATTCCATTACCAATTATATATTGAATAACTGAATATAACGTGTTGACATCAATTGTTCTGAGTGTGAAATGTATACGCGAAGAATTTGCTGGCTACAGACACTGGTTATAATGAACTTTTATTCACAGTTGTAAGTGTGAATTGTGAAAAAATAATATTACTGATTTTTGTTGACCCTCTACGCTTTCGTGAAATTCCAAGCCCAAATTTGGATTGAGTGACTTTTTTTTTCAATAATGCGTGACCTTTCTACACCTTTGTACATTTGACTCGCAAAAAATTTGCAAAATTCCGAAAATCTACTGTTCGGTTCTATGCGTTCGGTTCTAATAAGAAGAAGATATTAAAGGTTATATTTTTGAGGTTAGTGTAGTAAGTTAAGTGCTTTTTGGTTAAATTTTAAATTTATTTCAGTTTTGGAGATCGGTTTATGGTTTATTCTCTATGTATATAGTACAAGTTTGGTTTCTGTAGTACCATTATCCATTCAGTCTTTAAAGAGACTGACGTATTTACCTTAATGTTGTTCTGAATAGTACTAAAACCTAAAACTGTAGTTCTTAAATATGCCTCAAAGTCATGCTAGTAAGGATTGTGATATGGACCAAGAAAAAGTGAAAAAGCCTAGGTTATTTTCTGGAAGAACATTCAGAAAACAACTGAATCAGGAAAATGGTTTGGAAGGTGAGTAAAAATATTTGTGAAAAGTTTGATGTAAATATTTATTTCCTTTGTAATTTCCAGCTATCAAGCAATTTTTGGGTGCCCTGAGTAAATCAGAAGAACATGATTATGTGCTCGAGTATTTGGAGAGCGGTGGTAGCTGTCTCGAACTACTACAAATTCTTGAGTTGGATTCTACGATACCTCCTTCATTAGTTTTTGAACTAGTAACTCATGTTCTATTGAGGATAGAAGCGAGTTTTCCGCAATACCAGAGCCTGGCATTCGAGGCATGCCGATACATTCTGAATAACTATGTAACACTTCTAAACAAAATGATGAACTTGAGTTCAACAACTCCTGAAAGAAAAGCATCCTTGAAGCTTCTCACAGCTATGGTAACATTATCTCCAACTCTCGCAAAAGATGTTTTGATACACGTCAATTTTCACAGTACCACAGTTGAGCTTCTTACAAAACACACAGGAGAGAAGGATAGTGTTCGGGATCATTTCATGAAATTTGTGACAGCTTACCTGGTGGACGGTCAGTATCCAGCATTATCAATCTTACTAGAGAAGAAGGGTTTCATCAAAAGTGTAGTCAGTGGATTATTGTCTGATTCTGCTGATACATTATGTTTGGTGATATCCGCGATGAAAAACCACATATTGGAGAATCCATCTGTTTCAAAAACAACTAAAATGAAGACATTCAATACACTAGTCGTGAAGGATATAGTCAATTTATACAATTGGAAAGGACCTCAGTCAGGAAAGACACACAAGACCAATAAAAACCCAGTAGTTACGGTAAATACATAAACACAAAGTGCACTTTAGTGGGTAATAAGTATTCTGAGTAGAAATTTATTTATGTGATCATCTAGTGGGTATAACCGATAACATTCTACAAGATATTCACTTGTATGTAATATTCACCGAAGTATTTAAACTTTTTTGGTCATCTTGCTTTTCTTAGATAACCAAGGATTGACCTAAATGTGCCATATTTCCTGTACTAAGACATTATCTTCTTACGTTTACTTCCAAAACATACATGCAATCATAGAAAAGTGAAATGTTTCAACTGTGCATAGGTTATATCACATCACACAGATGCTCATAAAATCTTACAACAATTTCAGAAATTTCTGCACTTTTATCGTACTAATTTCATGCCCTGTGTACGCTAATAATACTCCGTTACCTAAATCTAGTGATGTTTTGAAATAAATAATGATGCATATAAATATAATTTCTCTTAGACCAATGTGCTGCTGAATGATTCATAATAAAATCAATATTTGTTTTTCAGGTGGATGAGTTTGAGAAATCTAAAGTAAGTGAATGTGTTCATGATTTCTTACTGGTTCTCTGTACGTCTCATAAATACGGAGTTATTTTCAAAGATCAGTTAGTCGGTACTGGAAAAAAGAACCAAAATGCTTTGATGTATACGGTTTTGGAGAGTCTCGATAGGTAAGATAATTAACTGAATTATTAGATTTAAGTAGTTCTTTTATTTCAATAATAAGTATTTAGCTGTGATACCTTTACATATTTAGTACTTCTCACTTCTATTGAAATTCAGAATTACACAAAATGTGCATAGTCGACCCCAGGTTGGTTTTGTCAATGGGTATCAATTATGTGAATATTGCGACCAAATGTATACCCTTCCGAAATCCTACAATCATGTAGTTTCAACTTCAGCTTTAGAAAATCCTTTACAAAATAAATATCGTGTGACATTTCTGTCTGTAAACATTCACGATCAATCTTGTTTTTAGTCTCTCAAGACATATTTCAAAGCTTTCTATAGAAATATGAAAATACTACAACTCATTTCTCACTAAACTAAAAAATAACAAACAAAATTAGTTATATAACTAATTAGGGTATAATTATTTAACATTAGTTATGTTGAATTTCACTAGTTCGGACTTCCATTGTCTATTATATAAAATGATTTGAAATCCCTGAAACAAGTAAAAAAGAATAATTAAAAAAGAATAGTTGAAAATAACAATTATATTAAGCAACAATAAACCTGAAATGAAATGATAGTAAAATAACCTACAAGTAAAAATATAATAATTGAATAAATAAAAATTAAAGGAATGCAAAAAGAAAATAATAAAAAAATAAAAAAGTGTAGAGATTCCAAGTCACGTTAGTTCACGACGTTTCGATTGTAGATACCAATTGTAGATACCAACATAGATTGTAGATACCAACAATCGAAACGTCGTGAACTAACGTGACTTGGAATCTCTACACTTTTTTATTTTTTTATTATTTTCTTTTTGCATTCCTTTAATTTTTATTTATTCAATTATTATATTTTTACTTGTAGATTATTTTACTATCATTTCATTTCAGGTTTATTGTTGCTTAATATAATTGTTATTTTCAACTATTCTTTTTTAATTATTCTTTTTTACTTGTTTCAGGGATTTCAAATCATTTTATATAATAGACAATGGAAGTCCGAACTAGTGAAATTCATCACGAAACATTGTCAACCACCTTCAAACAAACATTAGTTATGTTCATGTTTTATATGGTTATGAGGGTTACCAAACTTTTGCAGACAAGAAATATTTTATACATAAATAACCCCTTCTGAAAAGATACAAATTCTTATGTACTTATTATCTTTTAAAATTTGTATTTTTATACCGTCTTTACAAATTCGTTCAATTCACTTTCAACTTTCTTCAAAATTGCAAGTTTTATACGACTATATACACAAATCGCATTCAGATATGTTTATTCTGTCAAACCGTCTTCTTTGGAAGTGCCATCAATCTGTCGGTAACTATATATTATTCAATAAATTTATTGATGTAGCAGTACTATGTGGTAATAAATCATAATGAAGAAGAGAATTTAAACTTTCTATGTTTTTTACCACTTTTACTTGTAACTAACGTTACTGCAGTTTCGTCCTATAAAGACATTTTCAAACTTATACATTAAACTTTAACCATTCTCTTTTCTTCATATATTATTCCTCTTCTATTCAGAAATCAGCATCATTTTCAGATTTCAACATTCGAACAACTAATTGGCTTTTTCTTCAGAAACATTTAGAAACTGTTCTTTACGTACAGTTGTCTGCTTACTGACAATTCTAAATATTTCATATTTTCTTCTTTAAACATTTATACAACTTTGTTAACATATTATTAATATTTCAAATTAGGTTATAGAATGTATGAACAAAAGTTGAGAAGCCCCCCTGGGAAGACTTCATCTTTCAAGTATGAAAGTACATTCAAAATTGCTTCTTCCATTGACAAAATAAAGATGTTCAACAGTTGAATATATAATTGAAATATTTTTTTCAGTTCATCAATTTATAGTATAAAATTTCTTATGTTTTTTCAGGCCTTGGGAACACTCATATGCATCTGAATTAGTAACAAAAATTTGTGGAGCTTGTCCAGATTTAGTAAGAACAATGTGGGGTAATCTGAAGCCTTTTTTAGAGCCAAGAATGTCCCAAAAATGGTTGAACGCTTTAAAGTTTTCCAAAAATCTCATCCTAGAACTGAAACCGACCTGTATAGACTATTGTGCCGAAAACCTCAGTGTGATGCAGGTAAGTTCAACTATGCCACAAAAATCAATAAGTTATATTGGTTTTGTATTTGAATACTATTAATGTAACATTGAAATGTTTTTTTTAATATAAAGTTAATGAAATTAGTTGGCACCAACGGTGAGGGTTTCAAAATCATTGTCACAAAACCAGAACAGGATCAATAAAAAACGAAGAATACTGAGAAAATATACCTGGTAACACTTAAGGGAATATTTTTATAAACAAATCGTCTGAAAAAGGAATAAGAGTCAGCTCTTTATTATTGAAATGGTCATTTAAAGGACTTCTGAACAAAATAGGAATAGATACCATTGCACTGGAGCCAAGTGATTCAGTGACAATTCATATCAAGTCTCAAGAGTATGAGATATATTCATTAACGCACCTGTGCAAACTTGTAGAGACAAGATTGTTGGGAAGGGTGTCATCAAAGATAGTAAAACGCAATGAACCCATGAGGCTTCAGTGTTTTCCAAATTTTCCTCACAATCTGACAGTATGCTGTCAACGTTGGCTATTCGTTTGATACATCTATCTATCTTCAATTTATCATGATTTTAAAATTTGTAGGAAAGGCACGTTTTGGCTTTCTACTTTTCCATCTTCATATAAAAAATGTGGGAATCTTACAAAAAAAAGGAAGAAAGCAATTAATTTCAAAATAAACTCTTTACAAAGATGAGATAATGCAAAGAAACAACTTTTATACACAAAACTGGAAGAAAAAGCTCTCTCCAAAACAACTACTTTCATATAAACCTTTGATTGTATTAACTTACCAAGACCGATCTCTACTTTAGTGAAGGACTCTATTATTTATAATGGTTGCAAGATGTTCAATCGTTTACCTGATTTTATAAGAGAAATTAACACCTCAGATAATTTTAAAAAGGCTGTTTACTTCTTGCCGTGTAGTCCTCCGTATCATACTTTGGAAGAATTTTATGCAGATACCTTTTGATTAAATAATTTTTTTTATTGCTAAGGATTTTGAACTCAATTCTCCTTTATACAAATGTGCCAGAACCCTTTGTTTTACTTGTTTTCTTCTTTCGTATGTTGACTGACTAATTGTAGCTTTCAGTTTTTAGTGTTTTTATTCATAAGTTTGCTTTTTCCAAAAATATCCCATGTTTTTTTGCTGCACAAATTCTTCATATACGGAATAAGAGGTAACACTTATAATTGGTTTAACTTATATCTCAAAAACAGAAAGCAGATAGTACAACTCAACCAGAAAAACAAAACAGTTAAATCAAAGGCTTGGCTACATCGATAGGCGTCCCGCAGGGTAGAAATCTTGTGCCAATACTATTCATTATTTCTATCGATGATGATCGATAACAATGTAAATTCTGCTCATCTGATTAACTATGCTGATGACACCAATCTCCTGCTGACTGGTGCCACTTTACCAGATATAATCAAGAATGGATGTGACGTAATCAAACAATGCAAAGAATATTTTCTTGAGAACAAGTTATTTCTAAATGAAGGAAAAACTGACTGCCTCATATTCATCAACAATTTGGAAAGGCCACATCATGTAACAGTTGGTAATGAAAAAATTATTTGCAATACGTCGGTGAAGTTTCTGGGCATCAACATTGATGATACTTTGAGTTGGACAATTCAGATTGACAATATATGTAATGGATTGTCTTCAGTAATTTATGGGACGAGAGTACTTAAAAAATATGTTGATCTCGAAGAATTATTAACAGTATATTATGCAAATGTCTACCCTATCTGGGATCTAGGAATAACAGTTGGGGTTCAAGTAATGAATTATGTAGAGTTTTTCTGTATCAAAAAAAGTGATACGAGTACTTTTCAATAAAAATTCTAACTGCTCACCCAAATCTTTTCGAGAAACACCCCATAAAACCCTTTTTTATGAAAAATGATTTTGCGTATCCCATTTACACAAATGCTCTGTATGAGCGTAGAACCATGTACCAAGCGATGAAATTCTATAACAGAATCTCCAAAAATATATGCAAAATTGATGTTGTAAGCAGATTTCTGAAGTCTTTGAAAGAATTCTTACTCGATCAGGAAGGAGCCCTACAGTATCGAGGAACTTTTTCAAGGTGTGTAAAGATGCAAAAGTTTCATTCAAATGGATTTTTTTATTTAAAAATTTTAGTCAATGTGTGATGCATCTAAAAAAGTAATGTATTTTAATTTTTTACCATTTACTTCTATATAACTATTTATTAAAATTCCTTGTGCTGATTTTCAACTTGTAAATGAATATTATTCATCTATCTACACATTGGATTACACAGAAAAAAAAAATACTTCCAAAACAACTAGATACTTTTATATGAACATTGAATTATTTATATAAAAACACTTTTTCCTTTTCAGTTTGTACTCCATACATTCTGATTCAATTCCATACGAATGTTTGGAGTACAAACTGAATAGAAAAAAGTGTTTTTTGTATAATTCAATGTTCATATGAAAGTAGTTTTTTCGAGAGGACTTTTTCTTCTAGTTTGTGTCTGAAAGTTACTTCTATGCATATCTTTGTATGGAGTTTATTTTGAACTTAATTGCTTTCTTCCTTTCTTTGAAAGATTCCCACATATTTTTTTTGTATAAAGATGGAGAATTTGAATTGAAGGGGTTATATTTTTAGGAGTGATTAATTTTTGGGAAAGAAAGTTTTTGGTTTTCTACTACTCCATCTTGATACAAAAAAAAAGATGAGGGAATCTTTCAAATGGAGAATTTGTTTTTGATTATTCGCAATTTCTTGAGTGGATGTAAATTTGAATGGAGCTTTGACAGTTTATATGTATAACTATTTGATAACTCTGTAACTGGGGTTTTCAACAATTGTTATGTGCCATTGACTGAAGTGCAGTGTAATTTTGTAACAGCAACACGCAATGTAGACCCATAAAGAATTTCTACTTTCCAAGTCATTCTAAATCATTTGAGATGCATTTGATATATCCTCTGACCATTTTAAAACTTTCATATTTTGTGTTACAACTAAATAAATTGATCTCAATATTCATGATTTGTATAAAATCGATTTTGTTGTTGACTGATTTATTTATTTATTTACAGCTCTTTCAGATTGTGACGTGCTTGGTATCTCCTCTCCCAATTATAAAGATGATCGTTCCTGAAAATAATAATTTCGAGAGTTGTTCTGTTAAACAAAATGTTCTATCATTACTTTCGGAAATGCTCAGATCGGTGGAAAGCTATATGGAACATTTCCAAAAACTTCTCAGTGCAGAAGATTATAAAAAATTAAAATTCAATTTTTCCATATACATATCGAAACATTTCCCAGGTGGAGTAGACGTATTAAAAGATTGGGAAATAGTTGAGTCACCTGCAGCATCAAAGATGGAGCTTCTGGAGGTTATTTTCGATATATTTGATAGTTATAAAAATTTAAGCCCTGCGTTGTTGGATAGTTTACATTCTGAAAATATTGATTTATCGAAACTATTGAAAAGATTGGACAAACTCTCCGATGAATCAGAAAATTCAACGTTACGAGTAAAAATGATCAATACATTTATTGACCTTGACAGCTCAAAATTCTCTATAGAGTCTAAATTATTTTCAGTTGTCGTACCCCTACTTTTGAAATATTATTATCACGATACTAATTCGAATGCTCTGACAGTTTTGAATAAATTGTTTAAGAGTACAGGAATTTTTGATGGGTGTTTATACGAAATCAACATTTGGATAAATGCAGTATCAAATTTGAAAGACTTCGATGAAACTCTTCCTAAAAACCTTGTAGCTATTTTGAAATTAACTAGCCTCAATATCTCAAAATATATACAGGAGATTTCTTCAATGCAATCGGAAAACTCTAGAACCAGAGATTATTCAGCCATTATACAAAATCTGTTGGATATCAACATGGCATCAGGCAACAAAAAGGTATTGATCAGGCACAGATATTTGAGCCCGATGATTCTCGGTTTATGTGAATATTTTTCACAAATAGAGGTAACCAAATCACTGAAAATATATTCAAGTTTTGTGTTGATGAATCTGCTACATATGCAGACTCAAATTGAATCAATAGTTCAAATAATCTGTAGAAATGATTTTTCTCCTAAGAGTTTGAAAGATTATGCCTCTTGTTGGCTTGAATGCCAGAATGTTCAGAGTTTGAAAAAACTCAAAGGAAAATCTGATATATTTGAACGGTTCAGCGAAGAGATGTTGTTTGGGAAAATGGATGATTTTTTGAAGGGTATAGAAACAGACCAATATTCAGACTTACTATTGAATTTGTTAGACGCTTGTATGTTTTATTTTTGTAATTTATCAATTAACAATTCTCTGACTAACGATACATTCGAGAACCACCAGAAATTTGTCAAGTATGTCATTAATAAACAGGCTATGACTGATATTTTTCTCGAAAGGCTTCTGGGCCACCCAATTTTATTGTATAATGTTTCTTTTCTCTCTTTGGATGATGCAATACCTGCAAACTTCATTACTAAATTTATAGTCATTATATTTAAGTATTTGTTGGAAGTAGGTTGCACCCTTGGTGGTTACCTAGAAGTTTATAGGGAAAAGTTACTCAGTTCAATTTTGAAAATATTCAAAAAACCTCATAAATATAATCATATATCATCGAATTTCAGAGAGGTATTACAACTTCTCGGTTTGGACTACTATGATTGTTATGTTATACTTTCTAATTTATCGACTTCTTTCGAAAAGTATCAGAACTGTCGTATAGTATTAGATATTCTGACTTACACTCTGAATAAAATTTCTACCGCTTGTAAAAGAAATTCTGATTTGAAGCCGTTACATGAAGATATTATTGAAAATTTGACGTCACATTTTGTTGGTTCAATAAAACATCAGGAAACTGAATTATCTGATTTATCATTAGCTTTTCTGAAGTATTTCAAAATGTTTCCTCATAATGTGAAGAATATCAACCCACAACTGTTTGCAAGCATTGTTCAGTTGAAGGATTTCAATAGAGATAATGTCGCACTCGCCACTTTTCTGTTGGAGCGAAATAACAGTAACTTTGCTTATGTGATAGATAATTTGGATTCCCTTTGTGAAAAAAAAGGAATATTTCTACCGTTTCTGAAAGTATTAGTGGGGAAAGAAATAGATGAAGAGAAAATTGAATATATATTTGAGAAACTTGAACCATCTCTGAACAAGGTTTTACAAAAGCCTCAGAAGGCAGGTCAACATTTTCATCATCATTACGAAGGGCTTATGGTTTTGATAAAGAAATGTATGCCGATTGACAAATGCAAAATTATTTTTGGGAAAGTACAAAAATATGAAGTTTCTGAAATATTTCATGCCAATTTACTCAGCGCTGTTTGCAATAAAGCTCTGAGTGGTGGTATTGATAGTAAAAATGTCAACAGTATAATCATGACATACGTGCATTTACAACTCAATTTGTTCAAGAGGAATTTGAAAGTGGAAGAGGATATTCCCAAAGTACAGGGCATATCCTCATTATTCAACGATATATTGCATAACTTGAAACCAATTATAGTAGACAAAGATATGAAAAGTACGTCCAAAAGTGAATCTGTTCAACTGTACTGCAAGTACTGTTTGAAATTCGGAGTGGCCGGTCATTCCATATTTCTGAAGACTCTGACTAGTTTACTAGATGTCTTGGGCAGTTTTCTGGAAGAAGAGGATGGCAAATTCATCATGGAAATGTTAGTTTCACATTCGGAATTTTTGGAGGTTGTTCTAGGAGAAGATTCCGAAGTTAAACATGAAATACTATCGTTGTTTTTGGTTTTATGCCAAAATTGGGACACATTGATGCAGAGAAATCATATTCCTGTACTGTTATCCAGCTACCGAGCTACCACTAACAATTGCGATAAGGTGATATTGAAGCTTTTGAAGATGTAAGTACCACACAATTATAAGTTATAAATCAGCAACATGGATTCAGTCGTGGTAGATGTACCAGTATAAATCTGCTCATTTATCAACACTTCACAATAAATACCTTCGAAAGTAGACACCAGGTTGATTCTATTTACACAAATTTTTCAAAGGCATTCGACCGAGTGAATCACAATTTGTTGTTGCATAAACTAAACGCTTTGGGTATTCAGGAAAACATTCTGAAATGGATTAAAAATTATCTTGCCTGCAGAGACCAATATGTAAAATATGGTAACTTATTATTTTCCTCAATCACAGTTTTATCTGGGGTACCGCAGGTATTTCATTTAGGGCCATGTAAATGACTTAAATGTTGTTATTTGCTGTTTGCTGATGATCTGAAGATGTTCAAAGTTATTCATGACTCGTCTGATACTGAATTATTACAATACAATTTATCTAACTTTGTATCACAGTTCTATCTGGTGTATCGCAGGGATCTCATTTAGAGCCATTACTGTTCAACCTATTTGTAAATGACTTGAATGATGTCGTTTGCTGATGATCTGAATATGCTTAAAGTTACTCATGACTCATCTGATACTGAATTATTACAGTAAGATTTATCTAACTTTGTACGCTGGTGTGTAATGTATAATTGGTTAATGCCTTCATGGGTTGATTAGAATGCCAACACAATTACCAAATGTGAGTTTGCTGATGATCTGAATATGCTTAAAGTTACTCATGACTCATCTGATACTGAATTATTACAGTAAGATTTATCTAACTTTGTACGCTGGTGTGATATAAACTTATTGCAATTGAATATAGACATATGTCATAAATTTACTTTTTTTCAAAAATAGTCTATACAAAATCTAAACAATCGGAACTGGAAACAACAAATACAATCAGAGATTTAGGTATCACTCTTGACTGAAAAATGTCTTTGAAACTCCATATTGCAAATATTACTTCTAGAGCACTAAAAATGTTGGGTTCCACTCTTAAATCTGCAGAAGAATTATCTTTCTCTTCCTTAAAAATCTTATACATATTCCTCAATTGTTATATCGAATATAACTTCATAATTTGGTTTCCTCTTATATAATGTAATAATAATAATAATAATGAATTTATTCAAGCGAAGACATAAAATACAATGTTACAGGCACGCAAAATATGTGAAATACATTTATACGATACATTGGTTACAATGACCCTAATTTATTCTGAACAAATTCAAGAAATGGATATTGATATGCTTGAAAGTGTTTAAAAATAAGTTTTTAAGGTACTCTGCATACAAACTGGGATATCATATTGGTGAATATAACTATGAAACTAAATTAGACATTCTAAACTTGAATACTCTGGCTCATAGAAGATTAGAATCAGATCTTATGCTAATTTACAAAATAATGAATGGTATCGTTATTTTCCCGGATCTTGTTGAACTTATAAATTTGAATGTGAATCCAAAGACAACAATGAATTCAGAAATCTTCAAAGTACCTTTTCATTTTACTAACTATGGCCAAAATGAGTCTATAGGTAGAATTTTGAGACTTGTTAACATTTGCTAACACAATGTGGATTTACAAATTTTCATTTCTTCTTTGGAAGACAGTGAAAAAATTGTAATTGATTGGCTTATTTTGCTTTTCTTTTTTCCCCTTACATTTAGCTGATAGTTATAGTACATATATTATGTGTATTTGAACATCTTTTAAGTTCAACATGATATTCCGAATTTCGTGAAGCGGTAATTTTTTTATTGATTCAAATTTTACAGTATTCAATTCAAAAAATATCCATAAAATTATGGGATATAGTATTGTATTATCGTATTATAATTAAGTGTGAATAAAGACATATTATTATTATTATTATATTTTGTACCAGTCAAATATTTTTCATGGAAATTGGGTGTTAACTCATGCTAGTTCAAAAATAAATACATAAACGATTTTTAATGTCAGTGATAAATAAATTGATCCACTTAGTAATTGTGTGAAACTTACCATGTTTTGTTTATTTCACTTTTTAGGTATGAATCGAAACCAGAGCAGACACATTTCTATGATTTCAAACCATTCTTGTGGGGTAGAGTAGCTGCCAATCATTATTCTGTCAGACGTCAAATCGAAAACTCATTATGGAGACAACCCAGAATGGGAGATGTTCTTGATATACTGCAGGAGGACTATGTTCTCTCCACATTAGTGAATTATCCATTGAAAGAACACTTAATCACCGATGATACAAATGTTTCGAATCAAACTACAAATAAATGCTACGATTTGATGTTCCTCTTGCCACTTTTTAGTCAACTCTTGGCACCAGAGCAGCAGGTTCAGACATATAAATTTACTAGATCAGGTATGTACTGTAGAAAAAATCTTTAAAAAGAAATCTTTATCATTTAAGTTTCAATTAGGGAAACTCATTTTTCAAATCAACTGAAATACCTGAAACAAGCCCTTTTTCCAAACACGAGAACTGCAACACCCTTCTCGACAAGCGTTTCACCAACCAAGTGTGCGTCTTCAGGAGATGAAGTGAACTGATTCCCAACTCTAAAAATTGTCTATTTACTATTATTAATTCCTTTATTTAGTGTAAGCTAACATACAATATGTTTGATCGTAACTATCATTAGGCTAATGTGAAAATATTCAAACAATGAATTACAAATATATACATATATACGACTGGTTACAATCACAAATAATAAACTTCAACAACTCATATGAAATATTCACACATAGGTGAGCAACAAAGGTAAGACAAAAGTATTGATACAGATACAAAGCAACAAACACAAGACTTTAAAAACCTTGGAATAGTAATGAAGTTATTGAACTCAGGAGAAATAACAATAAAATAAAATGAAATCAAAATCACTTGCCCCTTATGTGCATTTTCAACCTTTCCTTGAATTGACTTATCGAATTACAATCTTTGATACCATGATCTAAATTATTGAAAGCCAACATTCCTGCATGATAAATAGATTTTTCAGTACACCTCTTATTTTTGGTTCCTACATGGATATTTCGGTTGATTCTGGTATTATAATTATGATAATTTTCATTGTATGTTATTTTTCTGGTCAAGTAGTTCGGAGCTAGATGGTGATTCATCTTGTATATCAGTACCATCGTTTTGATAGTACACATAGTCTTTTAATGACATCTATTTCAATTCTTTCAAGATGGCATGTCTCTTGGTACACCCAGTATGATTCTCATGGCTCTATTTTGTTGCTTTTAAAGTTGATCCAACTAGTATTAAAGAACAGAAAGTAAGATATGGTAAAACTAATGTATTATAATATATTATAGAAATAGAAACCGTTAGTGCGACGAAATATCTTGGAGTCTTAATTGATAGAGGCTTAACATTCAAAGAACACGTACAAGAGGTAATAAAAACTATCTCAAGAAATGTTAGCTTTCTAGGAAGGATTTCGCCAACACTTACAAAATCTACAAAAATTATAATATATAACACACTTATATTACCACATTTTACATTTTGTGCATCGATAACATATACTGCCAATAAAAATGAAATGGATAGATTACAAAAACAGCAAAACCGAGCCATGAGGATCATATTAAGAAAACCAAGAGAGACACCAATCAAAGCAATGCTGAAGGAATTGCAATGGATGGCTGTGACAGATCTCATATATTACTATACAATGATAATGATATATAAAATGAATAATCACCTATCACCGACATACCTGAGTAGGCATATTGAATACAATGAGAATCATCATCACTATAATACAAGAACGCGTAATAACATATATGTAGGAGTTAAAAATAAAAAATGTACTGAGAAATCTATTTACCATGCAGGAATGTTAGCTTTTAATAGTTTGAACAAAAATATTAAAGAATGTAGCACTCTTGCATTATTCAAAAGAAAGTTGAAGAGTCATCTATTGAGTGAATGAACTAGCCTTTATATAATATAAATTTTGACTGTATAAACTTTTTTTTTTGTATTCTATATTTGTATTTTGTTTGTGTTTTATATTGACTAACAACTGTGATATTTTAAGTAGATGTTGTATATTTATTGTAGTACTCATACTTTGAAATTTTATTCTTGAGTTTAGTTGACTAACATATTGTGGTGTCGTATTTGATTATAGATGTATTGTATTGGCAGTTTCATTGCTAAATAAAGGATTTATATAAATTGTATATTTCGACCATCTAGATCGGCTAGGTGATACTCTCACCAGAAAATTGACCCTATTGGTAATAGTTTTTATCACATTCAATATATGTTCTTTGAATGTTAGTCCTTGGTCAATCAATACTTCCAAATATTTCACAACTGTTACACTTTCAATATCCCTATTAGAAATCTTTATACTAATTACTCTATTTTTGATTTCGTCATAACCTGTTTTATTACTCAGTAAGAAATTTCGTCTTTTCACTGTTCAGTTTAAGAGTGTTGAGGTTACACTGTCGACTAACTCTGCAGAGTATCTACCAACTCATTAACATTACGGTAACAGTAGTATATTAAGGTGTCATCTGCAAACTAATTTTGCACTCAGAGATGTCGGAAAAAAGGTCATTTATATATCTAACAGGGTACCTTCACTTTAAAGTTCCCTCTAATTTCAACAGAATGATTCATAAAAAGGTGAACAATGAGCTTTTCGGAATAAGACCTTTGTCATCGTTCATAATTCTCATGAAACCACACTTTGCTATTTCCAGGCTTTTGAAAAAGCACCCAAAAATCTAGTGTTGTGTACGGATTTCAACAGTTTCACACAGTTTTCATTTGTTCTATAGCTGTTCTCCAAGGCGTGTTGGACAACTCTAGACTTTTCTGGTCTCCAAAATTAGATATGTGCTGGGTGTTCTTTGAAACGAGTTTCAATAGCTCTCTCAATCTGGCTGACAAATTTTTTGTCACAGCGTATTTCATATATCCACTACTTTTAATATTCCAACATCTTGTCTTCATTTGTTGAAGTGAACAAGAAGTTTTGAAGGCTACTATTCAAAAAGTTGTCTTGCAATCGGAATTAGTCTTGGATTAATCTCCGAACCAACCTCCTGACTAATTCGTCTCTTCAACTCGATGTGTACCCATTTATATCAGTAACTGCCTTCTCACGATTTTCTGCCTTTCAAGGAGATAGGCGTAATGTCACTTTAGTTATTGCTTAAAAAACTATGAGATAACTGAAAGATTTTTAGTTCGCTTTTCCATTTCATATTTTCTCTTGTTAACTATTTGTGTCTGTTGAAATCTGTTTTTTCGTTAAAGTGCTGTTGCCCCCCCCCCTCAAAAGTCGAAACTTGTGGGGGCTAAGGATAAACGAGGTCTTAACTTTCAACGTGCAATTCTTAGCATGGGTTGGGCAATAGGCAGTAAAAATCGATCGTCTTGCCTCTCGGATCGAACCATCGTTTCATTTGACGGTCAATTCAATCAGTTGAACAAACCACTTACGCCAAACCAACCGGCTACTGGCTATACATATCATTTTTTATTTTAGGTGCGTTAAGTCTTACAGTGGTAGGCTTGAGTAGTGAGGATGAAGAAGTGAGGAAAGCAGCTTGTCATGTTTTGGCCAGATTTCATTATCATGTAGATGCAAGACAAAGCGGTAAAGATAACTTACTCTGGATTCGATATGTGGAAGCTGTTTGCAAAGGTATGTGAATATTCAAAATATTTCTATTATCGAAAAAAAAAAAATAAGTAGAAAGTTATGCTCTAAGTTGCTTAATCATATTCTCCCCTCAAACTTTATACAATCTCTACTAAAAATGGAAATGTAAGTGAGCCACAGATGTAAAATAGAAAAATTTGTTTGATTTTAAATAGTGATTTCAATCAACCATTCTGTACCGATATTCAGTTTTAGTATGATAGACTAATAACTTCATACAGTGATTTGACTAATGAACAATGTAACAAAGTCAATATATTCAGTCAAAATAGTTTTCTTGAGAAGAATGCCTGGTTCTTTCATCACCTATTCAAATAATTCAGTTTTCGTTTTGATCTTGTAGTTATTTTGATTGCAGAAGGTTTTATAGGAAATATGTTATTATTTGTACATTGGTTGCTAACAACATTGAACACAACAAATTAACTGGTTTAGTGATCCAATAATTATTTTCAAGAAGAGTTAGTTGGGAAACAGGATCAATTTTTCTTAAGAAAAACAATTGTTTCCTTGCCAACGTTTCAGAGACCAACTTTTTCTGAGAGATAACTTTTCAAAACACAAATTTAACGGTAAGATCAACATTATAAGAAATTTGAAATCAGGAGCAATTGTCATTTCCAATCTCGAGATCCAGAACAAAAACCTCAATTGATCGAGTACTATCTGATAAAAAATAATATTCTAAGGCCCCTTAGCGAGAAATAATCAAAGAAAGAAATTTCTCTTCCCAAAATGCAAGACATACAATTCAACACATGCTATTTTGGTCAAACCAGGCGATATACAACATGAGTTTCAGAACACATGAGAGACTCTAAGAAAATTAGATATAAAAAACCCCATAGCCCTTGTTGAACATGAAAGGAAACATGGATATATTTCTTACTTTGAAAATCCGACTATTCTAGATGTTCAACCATATTTATCCAAAAGATTTTTGAGCAAAATGATACATATCCTCAAACACGACAGTGTTAACACTAGAAGGGATGTCAATGGCCTTAATACAGCATATTTTAATTTGACCAGTAAAATACGTAAATATTCCACTCTTTTTTCATTCTCCTTTTTATCTGTCAATGATTGAAGAGACACCACCTTATCAGTATCATAACTAAAGCTATTCTTTTGTTTCATATCTTTGTGTAGTGTTCTTTATTTTCTTAATGTATCTAAAATGTCTGATGCTGATAAAATCGTTATATTTTCAACATGCTCCTTCTCCATGAGTAATACAATTAAGAATTCATGATTCCTCGTAAAATTGAAATGATAACAGTTATGAGTTTTGCGGCAGGTATGTTTATGAAAATTCATTGTTAGAGAGCCCTGAAGAAGAATTTAATTAAATTCGAAACGTTGAAAAAAATAGTTGTTTTTTTAAAAATAAAAATTGATTCTGCTACCCAACTAACCCTTCTTAAAAATTAAACAGAACATATAAAATAATTCTGCTTATGTATATACCAGTGAGGGTGACAGTGTTCCATGTAAGTGCAATTTATTACCATTCATTCAAAGTAGAACTCATGTGAATGATATCTGATTCTTATTCCACAACAAATGTTTGAAATACAAACTGAGTAGGGAGAAGTATCTTCTGTATTTCTGTATTCAGTGTTCATATAGAAGTTTTTGTTTCGAAAGAATTTTTTTCTTTCGTGTAATTCAATGTTTATATGAAAGTAGCTGTTTCAGGAGGACTTTCTTTCAGTTTGTGTCTGAAAGTTACTTCTTTGCATGNTATACGTCATTGGGCTGCAAAGTTCATAAGAACATTTTTTCAATAAATTGTTTGATATCTCATCGTAACCACTTGCGTTTGAATGCTTTAAGCTCTTTATCAATTCTATAATTTCGGGTTCCGTTAGTGGACGCAAAAACATTGATTTTTCGCATATTGAGATATTGCTATTCATGTAATCGAAGTCTACATTTCGCGGCTGTATGAAATTTGAGAACTCATTATTGAAGTTGTTGGCCATGTCTATGTTTGATACTTCAATACCATCTTGTTGAATTTTTATTTCATTTACCACGTATTCTTTTTTTTGAATAGTATGTACCATATGCCACATTGATTTGACTTTGTTGCTGGAAATAGACATTTTGTCATTTACGCACTGCTTATAACTGGCTTTTAGTTTTTCCCTATACGTTTGGGTCACTCTCTTATATATCTCCGTATAATTATTATCAACTTTAGCACATTCTGAATAGAGGTTTACTTGGTGTTTCAGTTCGTGAAGTTCCTTCCTTTCTTTGGAAGATTCCCTCATCCCTTTTTTTTGTATCAAGATGGAGTAGTAGAAAGCCAAAAACTTTTTTTCCCAAAAAATATAAAATAATTTATTTATCTTTAAAACTTTCAGGTACAGCAATCCTCCCTAACTTCAAACTGAACAATTTTGCAGCGATTTATTTGGCAAGGATGGCTCTTCTGTTGACTCAACCCAACCATGTCATGTACTTGCCCCTCTCACAGCACCTTACTGCAAAATCAGCTTTAGATTTCAGTACCGTACCTGAACTGTATACATTTTTACATAGCTGTGACGTAAACTACAGAGACCATCGACGCTTTACTTTGGAGTTACTGAAAGACGGCTTGCGAACTGAAAAAGATCTGGTTGATTTCATGAAATCAATGGCTTTCAAATTAGTTTCTGAACTTTTCTCCAGCTCAGCTTCAGATTTAGAAACAAAGCTAATGATTTTAGATGTAATGTTGGTTGTTTGTAGAATTCCTCTTGGTGTGAAAATACTGTGTGAAGGTCATTCTTTTTTAACGCAGATCTATAACTTAGTTTGTATAATTTCAGAGAGTAAAATGCAGGATCTGCACCGAATACTTTTAGAAAAAATTCATCACATTCTTATTAGCATTCTAAGAGTAATGGAAGATAAACACACAAACTTAATGATTTTCAATATTTTGAGAATCATTCCTGGTAACAACTCATTTGAAATGTTAACGAAAGATTCCGAGAAGTTATATTTTGAAATGATATACATTATAGAGAATAGGTTTCCCAAATTTATATCTAAAACATATGTTGATAGCGTCGTCAGTATAAGCAAAGATTCATTTTCTAGGTATTTGATCGACTATGGTTGTGAATTTATAAATGTTGAAGACCTAGAATCAAATTGTGAATATTTTTACTTGAGACGAATAGTGTTGGACTTTATAAAAAATCGTTAATATCAAATGAATAATAGTGGATGGTAGATCGAAATTGTTAATACTATTTTTCTTGTGAAAAGGAAAGATTACTGATGATAAGAAGTGGTCAGTTGACTCCAGAGAATATGTACAGTTTTTAATGATGAAGTGTTTCGTGTTATTCTGGAACATTATGATTTGTTGATTACACCATTCAATATTTTGAAATATAACAGATTATATGTACAATCTTATCCTGTATTGAATAATTTTATACCTATCCTTATGTCCTTAAGGAACTATTGTTATTAAACTTTTATAAAATTGAGAATTGAAGTTGTGCCTATACTTTTTTTATCGTTTCATTCGTGAAATATATTTTTGTTATATAATTTGATTTTTTATTGTGTTGATATTATGTATCATTCGTCTCAAAGGTTAGAGTTAGCCTCTTCTCCATTTGATCAATATTGTTACTAACCTGAATTGTATGTAGAAGAGCCCAAAATTTTCAAGAATTTATGTCATTTGTGATTATGTTGACATCCATTTCTACAATTGATCCTGATTATAAAAATGCATATAAGGAGATGAAGAGAAATTACATCAATCACTTGGAATCTGCAAAATATGACTATTATAGAAATAAAATTTTTGAGTCGGATAATACAAATTATTAGATAAGTGACAGGTGCATCCCAATCCGTACAATTTGAATATGATAATCCATGCGAGGTAGCAAATAGCTTCAACAAATACTTCATCGAATCTGCTCCTAAACTCTTGTCAACACAGAAGGATATTGGTAAGGTGAGTGGCTTTGAAAGATCTACAGCTTTTTACAGTAACACTCTGTTCTTGAACCCTGTCACAGAAGATGAGATAATCTCAATAATAAACAAAATGAAGAACAAGAGAAGCACAGGTATTGATGAAGTAGCCATACACATACTGAAAAGCTGTACTCATGAGATTGTATGTATTCTGACCTTCCTGATCAATAAATCTTTTTAGGAAGGAGTTTTTCCAGATGATCTGAAGATAGTGATAGTGAAACCACTTCACAACAAAGGGGATAAGTCAGACATTTCCAACTTCAGGCGAATCAGTGTTTTAACATGTATAGCAAAAATTTTTGAAACAGCAATGGTGAATTGATTAGTAAAATTTTTTACAAACTTCAAAATGTTTTCTAATAACCAGCATGGCTATCTGAAAAATAGGTCAATTGAAACTGCTTTGATATAGCTGAGCAATGTAGTCCTACAAGCAATGGACAAAGGAGATCTATCATGTGGAGTTTTCATGGATTTATCTAAAGCCTTCGATTGCATAGATCATGACATTTTATTATGGAAACTCTGTAAATATGGAATTCGTGGAAAATCGTACGACTGGTTCAATTTATATTTGAAAAACAGAAAGCAAATAGTAGAACTGAATCAAAAAGACAAAACGGCAAGATCTGATGCTTTGGATGTGTCTACGGGTGTCCCACAGGGTACTATTCTCGGTCCAATATTATTTATTATATTTATCAAAGATATTAATGAGGTTATAGCAGACATAAACACTTCTCACATGATCAATTATGCTGATGATACCAATCTTCTATCAACAGGTGCGAACTTACCTGATATTATAAAAAAGGGTAGCAAAATAATAGAACAATTCAAAGATTATTTTTTAGAGAATAAGTTAGTTGTGAACGATGGAAAAACAAATTGTATCATGTTCAAAGCCAATAACAGTATAGAAACACCACAAAACATAATTATGCACAATCAAAAAATCATTTGTAATACTTCAGTGAAGTTTCTAGGCATATACATTGATGACACTTTAAGTTGGAGTAGTCAGATAGACAACCTCTGCCATAAACTATCCTCGGTAACATACGCCAGGAGAGTTCTAAAAAAAATGTTGATCTTGAAGCACTAGTTACAGTATATTATGCGAAATTTTACTCCGCTATGAGACAAGGGATAATCATCTGGGGCTCATGTCATGGGTTTAATAGAGTTTTCCTATGTCAAAAAAAATTATCAGAATAATCTTTAATATAAATACACGAGATTCATGCAGAGGAGCCTTTAAGATCAACAAACTACTTACTGTGTCAGCAATCTATATATATGACTCAATAAAATTTATCATCAATCATCCAGGCCATTTTGAGAAACATCGCAAAACGCATATTTACGAAACGAGACAAAAGAAAGACTTCTCATATCCCATCCATGCAAAATCCCTATATGAACGTAGCACTATCTATGCTGGAATGAAATTTTATAAAAATCTTCCGAAAAACATAAAAGATATTGTCGTTGCTAACAGATTTCTGAAATCTGTAAGAAAATTCTTATGTAATCTAGAGCCCTACAATACTGATGAATATTTTCTGGCCTGTGGAAATTTATGAACCACATTTTATTCAAAATTGCGCTATGTATTTATAGAAATTATCTCTACTTTCAGTAATCATGCGCAATATGACGAACATTTTAATATGTTTGTAATCGTGTTTGAAACTTGAAGCTATTTATTTTGAATGCTTCATTTTTAGATTTCTATGTACACATATTTGATATTATTACAATTTTCCTTTTGACGTATTTCTCAGACAAAAATATTCTGCCACTCCAGTGAATGATTATAAAATACTCTGTTGAAATAAATGTATCTATGTATCATCTGGGTTTTAGAATTCAGCATTAGGTTTTTTCTAAAGTTTTGTGCTGTTTTCTCACAATAGGACTCGGCTGTGATGGTTTAGCTTGGTTACAAAAAATTATAGTCAATCATACAAGCTGCTTTTTACTATACAGTAACCATGATATTGTGACAATTTCTATCGATCGTTCAAATCATGGAGCACCTACTTTCCGGAGTTTCTGACCTTTCCAAAACGTTTCAAACCATCTAAAACCGTATGAGAGTGGACGCCCAGTTCTTCCGTCATCCTAGGCACTGTTTGTGATGGGTATAACTGTAGGTCGACCACTTCGAGGCTGAACGAAATTTCGTAAACCAAAGTCAAACTTATTGCAAAATTCCTGGTCAACTTTTCGGGCTGTTTCGGTAGCGCTTTGGTTTAATTTGAATTCGTAGAGAAAAATTGGCAGAAAATCGCTCAACATCATATAGTAATAAGCTGAAAAGAGGCAAAAGATAAAAATTTGGAAAAAATGAACAGTATCAATTGTATAGAGTACAAAATTTTCTGTCGATTATTGTGTACCACGACAAAGTAGAATAAATCACATGAGTTTAAAGAGGTCGAAACATTTGAAACAACCAAATAAATGTTCACGTTCTGGTGTACTCTTCTGATGGCATATTATTACAGGTTTCATCTGACTTTTATAATATGGCGATATTAAAATTTTAGCGTTACGTAATATAGCTATGATTAATAGCTCTTCACTCTCACACCCAGAAAAACCATCTATAATCTAGGCAAACATGGATGTGACAAATTTTTGCTAAGACAACCTCAATCTGTTTGATAGGGAATAAAATAACCTTTAAATTGAAAACAAAAACGATCAAATAACTGATGTTGAGTACATAAATAACATTTGCTCGTCTGTTTATACCTGCCAATTTTATAAATGCACTGAAGGGAAAGTAAGGCAATCTATATTTTTCCAATATCTTGAGTCATACTCTCTCAGCTAATGCTTGTGTTTCATGAATAACAAATCAGGCTTTTTTTCCCAATGAAGTTGATAGGGAGCTGAATAATCGATTTTTTTTATCTTTTCTAAAGATTAAACAAAAGTACTACAGGGAAACCCTTGAGGCGCTCTTAGAGCGGAGCCGGTGCGAAAGTAGTGATTCGCATTAGATTTAAATCCCTGGAGATTAAATCCATTTGGAAAAACCTTCTCAGGAAGTTTATTCCACATAAATGCAGTTCTCCAAATGAAAAAGTTCTTAAACAGTGAAGTTCGAGGTGTACTGAGTTGAACCTCACAATGATGAGGAGCCACAGTCCGTCGCGTATTTCTGATATGTACCGTTCTTGGTGGAATGAAATGTGGCAAGTCACTTGAACACTTTCCGTGAAAGTATTTATAGAAGTGAGACAAATCTCCAACCTCTCTTCGATGTTCCAGACTATCACAAAGTGATGTTCGCAATCAAGCGGATGGCTCTTTTCCAGCAGATTCAGGGTATGTTTGGGGGCGGAGCTCCATACATGAGAACAATACTCCAAAGAAGGTCTGATCTGAGCTTTATAAAGCATCAAAAGTTGCTGAGGTGTGTACAGTTTTCTGATTCGGAACAGTGTTCCAAGCTTTTGAGAAGCAGCCTTTGCAAATCCAGCGACATGATTGTGCCAAGATATATTTGGTGTCATTTTAATCCCCAACAAGACATGTATCTTTTTGGAGAAAGTCGATGCCTGGGTTTTTGTGATATTAAATTGAACCTGGTTATTTTCACCCCAATTTGAAATTATTTCTAGATCCTCATTAAGGCTGCTTCCGGAGCCGATGTCCTGGAATCCAAATGGAATGGCGAGACAAGTGTGCTATTGTCAGCAAAGCAATATATTGGATTCTTGGTGTTTTGGAATAAGTTGTTAATATACAATAAAAAGATGGTTGGAGACAATGTGGATCCCTGGGGAACACCAGCGTTGATGGTGAAAGTTTTCGAGAGATATCCATCCACGGCCACTTTTAGGAAACGTTCTTCCAGAAAGCGAAAGAGCCATATACAAAAATGATCCAACAAGCTATAACGTCGAAGTTTGGCCAGCAAATCTTCATGCCACACACGGTCAAAGGCCTTATAGTAGGGGAGCCCACGATGCAAAATGGGGATTTACTTGAGCGTCATAGCAAGCAATCGTTTGCCTTACTAATCAATGGAATGGTACTGGCATGCACAAGTTGTACAAAATTCCTTGGCGTTCATGTAGACAACTGTTTGAAGTGGTCTGACCATATCACAGTTGTTTGTAAAAAAATGAAAAAAAGGGTATTATGCAATTTCAAGAATTAAGAATTGTATGCCTTTACGCGCCATTTTAGATGTATATTACAGTCTGGTCTATAGCCATCTAAGCTATAATGTGATCCTATGGGGAAACAGTGTTGACAAAGATAGGGTTTTCATTGCTCACAAAAAAGTTGTTAGGAATTTTCTAGGCATCCCTTGGAGGGAATTATGCAAGACATTTTTCATTAGTCATCAAATTTTAACCTTTCCCTGCATCTATATCTTTGAAATACTTTTATATGTTCGCGAATGTATAACAGACTGTACTAAGAACTCATTCTATCATAGCTACCCAACTCGATATGCAGAGGAGTTGAGCATTCCTAAACATAAAACTATAAAATTCAAACATTCTCCCAAATATATGGGAATAAAATTATTCAATCAGACCATTTCAAACAGAGGAACACTGTAGCATTTAAAAAAGCAGCTAAAACATTGCTTCTTTCTAAGGCCTACTATAGTATTGGCGAATTTCTCTCGGACCATCTCGACTGAATGGGTTCATGCGGCTTTGGCATGACATATTCAATTTTTATAACTACAATTGTTTTAATTTTTGTAATTCTGACTTTTGTTGTATACATTTTTATTGTATTATTTTTATCTACTGATCTACAATTTTATCGTTTGATGTGATTTTTATGTGCTTAATACTGACCTATCCTATACGTTTGTCAACGTCTTTGAGGATGAATAAATATTATTATTATTATTATCATATTAGGTTGCAAAGCTTAGATGATAAAAAGAAAAAAATGTTATATAATATATAACTTTTCATCGGTGGGGAAAGCGGCTATAGATTTTTAAATATGTAAAAAAAAACTGTTGCATGGACATACTCGAGCGAGTCAGATATTGATTGTAGGTATCAATGTCCTACGTATTTTTAATAATGTTCGTATGTTAATCTGATAGTTTGCATGATGCGGGTGGTTGTACGTAAGGGTTAAGAGTGAAAAGAAAAAAAATTTAATCAGGCGCGTCAGATTTTCTAAGAGGGTATTAAGTGCACCCAAAAAAAGCTCTTATTCAATAATCTGACGATTTCGATCTGACGCAAACTCGCGGCCATTATTATAATGTGCAAAAAAAATTCGCCATTTTGAAATACTCAAGCGCGTCAGATTAAGATATATATGGTTCATTTTTATGTTCTAGACGTGCTGTCTCACAATCTGACGATTATCTAAAGGGATACGCCTAATCTGACAATTTTTTTTTAATCATTGAACGTAAATAATTGAAAAGCTCAGGAAATAGCATGCAAATAAATAAGTGTGTTTTTTAAGTAGAATACTTGTATTTATAAGAAAATAATTTTTTAAAAATGCTCAAAAAGTTTAATTTTCAATAATCAATTGATTAATTAATCATCATCTTCTTCTTCATCACGAACGAGTCTCAGTGATCAGCTGTGGTGGCGTCATGGCAACAGAATTCAGAGTGGGGAGAGAGTAGTAGATAGAGGAAAAGTCAAACAGGAATAGAAATTCGAAGAGGTAAATATAGGTATCATACACTGCACGCATTAAACTTTATCGATGAATTTTTTTTATTTCGGCTAGCGGAAATCGTCAGATTATATATTTTTCGTTATCCTTGAATTATTTTCTTCAAAATAAAAAAAATTAGGTCCGTTCGAGAATGTCGAAATGACGTTATTTTTTTACAACTGTGCTACCCTCCCTTTTCTTTGCGTCACTCTCAAATTGTCAGATTACTGGAATATACACTTTTCAGCATGTAATTAACTCACCCTACCTTAATCTGACGCGCTCGAGAATTTCTGATGATCAATTTTTTTTTACTAATCTGATCCTGATAATATTTGGTGGAGGTACTTAACCGGGTACGAGGTATCCCCCTCTATATTGATTTGCTGTGCTTTAGTAAATCCCGAAATCCCCGCTTTGGGCTCCCCAATTATTAGAAATATCAAGCGCAACAGCTCTTGACTCTCCATTTTTCTCGATTGCGTAATTCGAAATATGAGTGACATAGGTAGAATAGAAGGTCGCCTGTTGATCTTTGTTTCCAAAAGTCATATTGATGATCGCTCAAGATGTTGAAGCCTTCCAAATATTTGAGGATATGGTGCTTTACGACTTTCTCGATGATTTTTGATCACTGATAGCAAAGGGACTGGTGTATAGTTATTTGGAAGAATTTTCTTGTTTTTTTTTGGGAATAGGCTGAACACGAGCCATCTTATAAGTCAGGTTGCAAAGGCTGCAAAATACTGGTGCGGACGGTAGCCGGTCGGTTTGACGTGGGTGCTTTGTTCACTCACTCAAATCAACCGCCGTGTTGGTCGCTGGTCGCCCAGGCTGAACGATCGATTTTCACTTGCTATCGTCTAACCCGTGTAAGGAATCACACGTTAAAAGGTAAGACCTCGCTAACAGATTTAAACAGTTCATTTGCGCACATTTTAAGTACGATGACGGGCACTTCTTCAGGACCAGACGCCTTGTTGATATTGAGCTGTTCCAAAATTCGCCTGACTAGACGCTGTCGAAACGTGATTTCCGGCATTGTGAATTCTAGTGTCGGAGTAATGGATGGTGCCTTTTCCAGTGAATCGACTGTCGAGTGGGACGCAAATTTTTCAGCTAGTAGATTTGCTGTTCTATGGCTGTTGTTGCAATTGAACCATCCGCTTGTGTTAGTGCTGGTCGAAATATGTTAGTATATACTGGATGTTGGGAGCTAAAGAATCAAAATAAGTTGGCATATAATAAAATTTGAAAAAAATAAACGAATAGTTCCCCCTGACTAATGGACTGAGGAAGTATTATTGGTAGGTAGATATTAATGTTATAACACAATAGTGTCTATACATACGTCAAAAACATAAACAATGATGAAACATCTCAAAATCAGTGTTTCTATACATGAGAATCATAACTAACAGCCAATTTTAAACATATAGCATGTCCAATACATGTGTGACAGTACAAACATGTTTTTTGAATAGAATACTCCAGATATTTTCACTCGATTGAATTTCTTGAGCAGAGTGCTTTTCAAAAATATAGGGTTGTTTGGGTTTACACCGGGTGGTTCAGAAATAATAGTGATAAAGTGAGTTTTACCTTCCTCTTGAAGATGATCACTTGGTGATCGAAAAACGTGTCGATGTGTTAAAATAACGATTTGGTGTTGAAAAAAACTCCAGTAATATCCATTACTACACCAAAGGTTCCAAACAGTAGGTACATCTTAAGTAAACATATGTCAAAAAATGGGTTCCTTCAACACTAAATATTTCCTACTCGATCAAATGGAAAGATGAAAATTTTCAACCTAATATCCTAAACGCGGCGCTTTTTCTATATAGTGGTAAAGAAAACTCGGGATTACTTTTTCTCCGTTTTTTTCCAATGGAACACCCTGTACAAAGGGCCGTCCCAGAATAGTATACGCTATGATTATTCAGAAAATGTATGGATTGACTATTTTATGTTGATCGGAAATATATCTATTTTTTGAGGAAAGTATGAAAAAGTCATCAATTAAATTGCAATCATTATATCATATTGGAAGAGTAGTGAGAAAAATTAGTGAATAATGATTATAAAACTGTATGGTCAAAAACATCAATACAATTGATTGATTCATTTTATTTATAAAAATATAAAAAACATATAAATACATGGACAATCAAGTTGAAACAATACAATAGTAATTTTCAATCTGAGTTGCATCCATTCATAAACATCTAGTGCTGGAATATTGAAACTATGACACAGAAAAAACAGAAAATGAGTTGGCCTAAACCAGAACTGTGACTTTTATCTGCATCGTTGCACATGGTATAGTTACATAAATGAAAATGTTTTTTTGTCACAGTATGGTGTTCAGTTTTAACATATTGCATTATTTCAGGCTCTGGTATTTGTAAACATCCACGAAATGTTGCCAAAACTGTCACACCTGGCATTTGAGCTGGAACAGAATAGAAAATATTAGATCACAGATGAACATTTTGATGAAGAAAAACAACAAAACTTTTTTGTTCTACATATAAAGTAAATAGGCAATCTGTTGTTCACAGAGAGAGAGAGTATCACAATTCGGATTAAGTTTCCCAAATAACTCCTTCAACATACTCTTTTGACACTTCATTTACAGGATAATATTTGACAGGATTGTTTTTCTCAAAAAATACGTTTTTCTTACAATGCTCTGAATACGAAGTAAGTACAATTGGCAGGTCAAAAAATTCGCTTACAGTCATGAGAATGTAAAAATTTCACGTTATATAGATGAAAATTCAAATATTTAAGAATATAGTTAAAAAAAGAAAACTATATTATACGTATTTACATATTGAAATACTTTCTCGGTGAACATTCAGTGTTTGGATTCCAATGCCAGAAATTCCTCTATCGAATAGAAGCTATTTCCAGGAGGCATTTTTTTGTTGCATTTTGTTGCATGACCGTCAGAAAACGCCTCAAATGAGGGAATGAATGTCATTACGTACTGTCATTGATGACATGAGTAGATTTAACTTATTCGTGATATAAAGTCGTGATTTAATGAATGCATTGAGTGCTTCAACTGCCGTTTTTTACAAAGTTTTAATGCTGCTTTGCTACTATATGATATATATCAAGGTTTTCATATTCCAGAGGAATAAGCGCCCTTATATTTTTGAAGGAATACATTTGATGATTTGAGAACTCACCTGGATTTGCACTATTCCAGTTAGATCTCACTGATTGGCGGGGAAAAATATGAACGTGATAATTGTGGATCATTATCCCACTCATAAACTAAACTACACATCGAGATTGAGTTATTTAGGTTTCGAAAAAGGAAATTAAAATTATTCCGGTGGTTTACTTCGTGTGTCCACAATTGAAAAATTGTCCTGATTGATAGTAGGTATTATACTTTGAATTGTCATAATTTTGACTATGTTATAAAGTTTTCATCTGATTCAGTTAGTTCACGTTCGACATCAATACTTCAATTCCATCTACTTGTTATTATATTTGCATGGCAACAGAAGACAACTTTCAGAAATTAAACTTTTCAGCAGAAAATGTTGCTTTGATGTTGCTCCTTTTCGATGGGAAGTAAAAAAAGAATCTTTGTGTTGAATTATTCAGTGGGATGTTCAACTGATAAATAAAAAGAGTTGAGATATTTGAACCTCTGGAATGTGGTCTGTATAAATGAGTGCTTATCAACACACTCTAAAAATAGGCAGCACTCGACCTATATATTGTAACATGAGTTTTTTAAAACCTTGTTACCTTGTGTTCAGGTACATTTCTAGCGTTTTCAATAGCCTGTATTACGAGTATATACGAATTCTTAGGAATGTACAAGGCTGTAACATATTCTGAAGCGAAAAATAGGCGTGAAACATGTAATTTTTTGGCAGAAGATGCGGTTCACCTTGCATTAATTGCATATTTGAAATTTCAAACGCAGACAGGGTGATGCAATTCTGTTTTACTTTCAAGTAACCCGTTTTTTGAACCGATTTTGAGAACTTTTTTTATAGAGACTATGTTTTTGGAGCTGTGTTTTACACTTTCAAGATTTGTCAATGTCATAAATTTTATGACTATACTGATTAAAGGTAGATCCCAGGGCCATTAGACCTCACTTATTTTCTGAAAAACAAAGGATATTATTATCAGTACGTATATTTTCAATTTTGCTAGACACTATCCGTCGACGACAATTTCTGCCAGCCCTTTGAAGTTCGCAAAGAGAAGATTCAGACTTAAAATCTATACACTGTGTCCGTAAAGTATGGAACAAATTCATTTTTAGCTAAACAGGTCATTTCAAGAAATAATCCTGAAACACGTCGATTTTTGATGTTAATTTACCGTATTTTAAAATAATAATCTAATATACAGGGTGAATTACGTTCGAGTAATGACGTCACCGTCATTTTTTTAAAATGGAACACCCCCATTTTGTCTCAATTTTCGGATTACTCTAGCTGAGCTGA